GGAAGCTGGAGGTATCACTGGATCCCGAGGAGCTGCAAAGGAGGAGCTGTGGGTAGGAGAGAGGATTAGCCACATCAAGGGAAGTGCTCATGCAAGGCTGAGCTGCAGGCCGGAGGAGGGGCAGAGGGGTCTCCAGTGACCCCTGCAAGTACCCCACACCACAAGAGAACAAGAACGACGCCCTGGCCAGGCCCAGCAGCGAGGCCAGTTTCGGACAGCGACCATCAAGAGTAAGATCTTTGCTCCCCCTGCCCTCCTGCTCCAACTCTGGAGGGCCAGTTGGGGTGATCAGGGACTACCCATAGCTTTGACTCTTAGACGAGATGGGGTATCCCAACTTCTGAACAGGAATCACATTTGGCAACGTAAAATGCCTAAGTTTTTTAAGATTTATTTTAGAGAAAGAGAGAGAGCACAAGAGTGAGCTGGAGTGGGGGGGGGGGGGGCGCAGAGGGAGAGGGAGAGAGAATCTTAAGCAGACTCTGCACTGAGCACGGAGCCCGACACGGGGCTCGATCTCAGGACTCTGAGATCACAACCTGAGCCAAAATCAAGAGTCAGATGCTTAACCGACTGTGATTGCGCCACCCAGGCCCTCCTGTAAGCTTTCTTTATTATCCGAGGGTGCTCAGGAGAGTCATGGATGCCCAGCGTTGAGTTTTCATCCAGGGGTGGGGTAAGTTCCCCTACTGATTACCTCTTGAACACTGGAAGACAAAACTGCTTTGTGATTCTGTCCTTGGAGTCCTGCCATTCAGCTCACCTGTTACAGATGGACGTGAGCCATGTGAAGGTTGGGGATAGGTGGAGAAGGTCTCGGAAGGACAGGGAGGGGAAGACTCAGCCAGCTCACCTTGCATCTGGAGTTTGGAACTGGGCAGGCACTCTTTGGAGAAAAAGGAGGCATTCCCAACTTCCTCCCTGGGATGTGCTCCCCCCAGGACACCTGCGCAGCACTTCCTGAGGGGGTCTCAGCTCCAACACCACTTCGTGCTGATGAAGGTCAAGCCCTCCGTGAACTAAGACTACCTAAGCCAGCTGTCAACTGCAATCAAAAGAGCTCAACACGGATGTGCGATCACCCGTCAGCCTTCCCTTCTCGATGCTTCCTACCCTAAATCTCTGTGAAATACTGAAACAAGAACCAAAGGTACCCTCACAGATGACAGTCTAGACAGAAAGTACGGCAGATGGGCAAAGGATGTGAGCTTCCAGAAAATGACCCATGAATGGCTTCTACAAACCAAAGCAGGTTCAACCTCACTCAGTACAGGAACGCAAACTGGATGTCCAACTACCAACTCAGCAAAGATCAAAAACTACGATAGAGCTCAGCATTGGCAGGGGCCTAAGGAAATTGGTGCCCCTAGTCCCCAGTGGAAATGTCCATCAAAGGCACCTCTTCAGGCCACACTTTGGCAAGATGTTTCAAGCCCACCCTCAACTAGGGAGATTAACGTCAAGGGTGAGCATGAACAGGCAAAGCAGGAAAGAAATCCAAATGACCGATAAATATCTAGGGAAAATGTCCACCATTACCAGAATCAAAAGCCAATTAAAACTAGATGTCTCTCTTTCCACTTTTTTTTCCTTGCTGAATCGTCAAAGTTAAAAATGAAATCACACCTAGTACAGTATCACTCGGGGAACAAGGAAGCAGGCCCTCCAGTACCTCCCCGTGAGCCCGAAAATACTTGCAAGGGTAGACTGGAAATAGGTTTCAAGAGCTTTACACATGTTGAATCTAGAAATGCCTAAAAAGATTCATGAATGAGAATGCTTATTATAGCACTACTTATGAAAACTGGAACTATTCAGGGGTGTTGACTGTATGCTTTTAAGATATTTTTAAAACCTTAATAGCATACCATGTTCCTCATGACCTGGCACAATTAGGATGTGATCGTCAGGTACATAAACCAACAATTACCGAGGTGTTGGCCTTTTATCTTCAGTGCTCTCTCCGAGATTTTCAGAGAGTGTCACCTCCCCGGTGAAGAGCACAGCATGTCACAACCTGACCGCATTTCATCTGCCCTAAACTACGCTCTAGTTCTTGATCTGGGGAGATGGCACCAGAAGTATGTGGAAGGCACCGTCCTAAGCTACAATATTCTACACTGTAACAGTGCGTGTAAAGTACCATCACCACGGTCACCAAACTTCTCACCCACCCAGAACGTCCCAGGCCCCACGGGCCTCTCCTGGGCAAACGCCCGGCAAGGCTGGGCCAGGACTGTGGCTGCGGCCGGGCCCTGCAGGCCCACGGATCTTCCTCAGAGGCTCTGTCAGTGCGTGCTCACTCCACCGCTACCACGGGCGAGAGGACTGGCTGGTACTGAATCCAGACCCACGTCCAGAACGAGGCACCTCATTATTTTGCAGCACTTCCTTATGGGTTTGACACCATAAAGTCCCAGGCACCACAGGCCTGGCCGGGGGGGGCTTGGGGGGGGGGGTGGCGGCGCCTAGAAAGTTACAGTATCAGACCCGAATTGCCCAAAGTCCTCAAAGGCAACACAGCAACACAGCCAAGCTTCTGATCTTTTATTTTCTACATTTATTTTTGGTGATTTATGTGTACAATCCTCAGTGGCCAAGTTTGCTAAAGGGGATCAACAGTGAAGCCCTGAGTCGGCTCAGCCTCCACCAGTGAAGACCTGAGTCAACAAGTCACAGGGGGAACCCCCCACCCCCAAGCCAGGCACCCCACCACAGCCGCAGGTGGGAAGCACAGCCCCACATGAGCTGAGCCTCAGGAGCACGTTTCTCAGAGAACAGGTTTTTGACAAATGCTGACATTTTACAGTGTAAACAGAGGAGACTGCTAAGCAGGCCCAGATGAGTAGGGCCAGGCTCACCCGGCGAGCTCCCGGCCTTGCGCCGTGCACAGTCCAGCCCCCGGGGAAGGAAGATTTACCCTCTCCAAACTCACAATACAGAAAGTCAGAAGCTGCTAAAATGCAAGTAACAATACCAAAACATTCTCAGAAGAACAACGGAAATGAGGGAGCTCATTAAATACATTCGTTTTGGCTTTGTGCCCACATGGAAACACTCAGAAGTGATGGACAGTCCCCCGGACTGCGGGAGCTCCTGTAAAGGGTACCATATGTTAGCACCATTTATGGGCATACAGATCAAGGCATTTCTTATTATAGAAAAGCTCTTAAATCTAAGTACAAAAAAATGATTTTGAAGTTCACAATTAAGCTCAACCACCCCTGGTTACTAGAAGAATGACCGCCAAGACCAAAGATATTTCGAGCCCCATATCTTTTCCTTCCTTGTATTAACCATGTTCTGACGATTTCATTCCTGACCCAGACTTACACCCAAGAAATCAATGTGACTGAAACAAAACTCCAGCCGGGGTTCTCCTCCATGAATAGCCCTGGCTAGTCCGGCGCATTCAAAATATTTAAATACACAGGTGGCCACAGGCCTGGGAACAGAGGCATTATGTGATAAAATGGTTTGCTGATATGGTACTTCAATGCAAGGAACACATCTATAGTTCCGGACTGGACTAACCCATTCCACCATTCCTAGTAACTATTTCAATTTACCATGGAAACAAGACAAGTGGGACAACCGCCCTCAGGCCCTCCACAGTGCTGCTGGGCCCCGCGGGGACCCGGGTGCGGACCCACTGATAGGGACCTGCCCCTCCCGGGCAGGGCCACGGCCACCTTACCCTTACTGCTCCCACCCCCGCCCCACCGCGGCCACAGACAGCCTGACCAGCTTAGTTTGGGGCTTTTCCAGGCCTCACGTTATTAACTGAATGGCAAAGGCCTTAATCGTCAGCTGCCTTTGTCTTTTCTCTGCACAACTCAGCACTGGCTCCCTGGTCTCTCTACCTCCCCAGAAGAGATCACCAGGGTTTTCCAGAAGAGTTAAGCACTAAACATTGTACTTCCGTGAAACAGGGAACGTCATACATTTTAGGAAAAGTGATCTGCAGAATCCATACACAGAAGTCCTTCTACCCATTCAGATTTTCATCCACGTATAACACAGGCCAGGAGGTCTGTCGGCCATTTGTCTTCTTGTTTTATTCTGAAGTAGGCTTAACACCCAGCACAGAGCCAAACGTGGGCAACGACCTGAGCCAAGATCAAGAGTCAGGCGTTTAACCAACTGAGCCACCCAGGCGCCCCTGTTGTTTTAAGTGACATTTTTACTCTAAAATCAGTTCCTTCTTCAATTCACTTCCTACAGTTCCTTGGGCCACTTTTATAAGCTACCTGACACTCTGCCCTGCCTTTTGCTGAATGGTATGGGGATTCTATGCTTTTCACACACTTTTCAGATGCACCTCACTCACACCGAGGACCTCCTTTTCATTGTTTTAAGTAGTCACGGGCTTTTTTTAAAAAGTTATTTATTTCTATGGAGGCCTACAAACAGGATTCCCTGCAGGTGTAGACTTCTGAAAATACTTCTGGGCTTTCAAGGGGGAGTACCTACAAAGTACTGCTTAATAAAGAGAGAAAATGAAACAACCAAACGTTATTTTAACATCAGAAAGAGGAGACAGCCAGGAAAGTCTATTGGAGTCTGATGTATCTGCAGCAATAGCAAGAGGGCCAAGCAGTAAAGGCAAGAGAGAGAGCACATAACAGCTGTTCTCCAGGAGACCTTCGGGAAGCGGCCCACGGACACAGAGGTGAGACGGCACCTTGGTGGGAGGGGCGGCAGGACAGGAGGGAAAACACAGCCTCTCAAAAAAAAAAAAAAAAAGCACATAAAAACCCACAAAAGATGTTTCTTCTGACAGAGGTGTTAAGACTCATGTGGCCTGAGATTTTTACCTGCTAAGCCCTACAACCGGAAGGAACCGAATAATGAAAGGATCCCAAGGCAATGCCTGACAACTTGCATCAGACCTTAGGCCGCTCAGTAGCGAACATCAAGTACCAGTGTCCATGGCTCCACAAGGAAAGCACGTCAGTCCCGTCCGGTGCGTCTAAAACATGCTCCGATATGCTGTATTCTAAGGAAGATTCAGATCAAACCCCACCTAGGTCGGGAGCACAAGTGCAAACCCACACCTTGGCCTCTCGTCCTCCCGTGGTCATGGCCGTTCCACCTGCAGGAAGGAGTGAAACCAGTGCGTGCTGTGTGTGCAGGAGGAGCTAAGCAGGTGAGGGGAGGAGCCAGAAGAGGTCCTGACGAAGCAATGTTAATTCCAGGGAACTTGCTAGAGGGACCGTCTTCCAGGTTTCAGTGCGCCTTAAATAAGTTCAAAGATCTAAGTCGTGCCTGCTTAAGATGAGGATCATCTTTCTGCCAAGACCATAGGGTCCAAATCTCTGAACTCCTGCAATAAGCTCAGAGAATGAAAGTAAGCCCAGTGTAGTTACCGGTGCTTTCTCTTTTCCTAGAACGCTCTATCATTTTAGAGACCCCTCTAAGTAGATTATCCTGCATCCATTTTGGTCTCAATGCAATTTCTATCCCCTGCTGCTGCCACCTGACCAGCCCATGACCAGGAATGATTCATGGAATTAAGATTCTGGGCAACTGAAGTTGCATGTTACAATGAAGAAGCGGTATTTTTTAAAGTCGGCCAATCATTTATACTGTTTCTTGAAAGCTCTGCCTTTCTGATGCTCTGATCCCACTAAGCCTGCACGACAGGCCGAGAGCAGAGTCCATTAGGCCTTGGGTCAGAAAGCCACCTGAACGCATGCTTTCAAACTTGCATCACTGTGGTGGTGAAGACCACAGTTTCCACACGCTCTAACAATACCACACACAGGAACAAGAAAAAAGTACGCATGTAAACAATTAAGTTGCCCAAAAGTTCAGTTCAAGTTCACTAAGATTAGAACATTTTCAAAATGTAAAGATGGTCATGAGTATTATTAAGTTGAATAGTAGGTATGGACCAAGAGTCAGACTCAGTGAACCCCCCGGAGGACAGAGACCCCCACTGCCTTGTGCCGAAACATTTTAAGTGCTCTAAAAAATGTTCCAGAATGAACAGTAAGCATTTCCCACTGTACAATTACAAATCCTAAAATGAAACATCAAAGCCAATAAGAAGTCATTATTATTACTTTAATTTGGCTTCTAGGTACCTCCTTATTCGAGGCACCATTACATTTCACAGTGAAAACCACAAAGCCTCTCCAACGCATTCATGCACATTCGGAGCAGAACCCGATTCAAACACAACACTCTATAAAGAATAAAGGCCTCCCAAACTGTGGTATTACTGATGAGGTAATGGGAAAATACTAATGTAACAGTCTGCGTAGTTTTGTTTGTCCTCTGAGTTTTCTTAGAAGAATTTTAAGTATAAAGCAAAACTTACATTTTCAAAAAAGGTTTGCCACTCCCCAAAAACATGTGATAGCTTATTAACTATATTAAATTGAATCAAATAAAGACTTTATTATAAAATAAAGCTTGGTACCTCAGGGTGATACTACCTTCATGGGCTGAGCCCATGCAGGTGCTGCTGATCCAGCCCTGGAGTGATGTGTCTGGTCCCTGGGGGAAAACAGACACAGCCCATGCCCCTTGTGGAGGACTCCGGCCCTAACTGCGTTCAACCAGGCCTCTGGGCAGCACTCACTCACTGCCAGGAACACTCCCTCCTCCCTCAGGCTTCCCAAACCAAATCACAGGCCAATGCAGCTTGGCCCTACTTCCGTACTTGGTTTTAGTACTTGCTTCTGCTTCATCTTACTCATGAAAAATCTTAAGACACTTTGCTATGACTCATCCCCTGGCAGGAACATGAATTGGGCAGTGGAAGCACCCTCAAAAACAGCCTGTGGAGAGGGCACAGGCAGACCTAGGTCCAGCCCCCCTCCCCCTCTCCCCCCCTCGCCGAACTCAGATGAGAGTGCCTGAAGTCATCGGGCCCTGGCTTCCTCCTCTAAAAGAGCAGGGGGATCTCGGCGCTGTTCTGACTATAAAATGGCACATCTACGAAACGGAGAATCAAGAGCCCGACGCCAGAGCTCAACTACCAGCAGCGCTCACCCCGCTGACAGCGCAGCACCTGCATGAGGCACCCGACCAGGTGTGGCCGTGACCTCAGGCACCTGTCACATTCTGAGTCAGGAGTTCCAGGTGCCGTCACATCCCTCTGGCGGCTCCTTCTCCAGCCTTTAAGTAACTCCTTTTTGGACCCAGTTTTTTATCTTCTATGAGACCATCTGCTTAGAATAGCTTTAATTAATATGTAAATCCAAACCAACGCTCAACAAGACTATCAGAGGACGTGAGGACTGTGTCCGTAACAGACTCCCGTCCAGAGGAAGGGCACCGCAGAGACCCATCACCGCCAAAACAGAGACTTACTACCTTAGGAAAAATGGAGAGCCAGTTTACAATTAAAGAGTTTGATTCTGAGACATAAAGAATACATTCCTCTCCAAAATGAGTCTCGTCTGATACAAAAGACCTGCGTTATGGAGAAGATGTAGTTTGTACCTTCCAAAAGAAGTGCTCTGAAGGCCCCCCTGAAATATATTGCATCAAAGATGAGGGAAAACACTTGTTTAATTATCAGAAGTTGTCTTCAGAACAGCCCAGTCCAGCTTGGCTCACGGTGCCCAAGAGTTCCCACAGGTCCCTCTGAGAGACCTGGAGACCCAAGGCCCGAGCCAAGGGGCTGCTGCCTGTGGCCCTCGTCCGTGTGGCCAGGCTGTCCCGGCGTGTCCCTCACAGACTCGTCTCCTCGCACACTCTGACAGGGACGTTGTAGTGCCGGTCATCTTCGGCGATCAGCGTCACCACCGGCCAGTCCAGGGGCGGATCAGTGGGGTAGACCGTGATGAACTCTTCAGTGCTGTACTTGGAAAGCCGGTACACCTGAATGGTATGGCGCACAGCGTAAGCAAGAAGGAACATTTCAACCTGGGAAAGAGAGCAAAGAGGTGAGCGGAGGGAAGCCACCCTACCAGACGCAGCTCACCACCACCTGCTCCACGCCCACAGTCCCGGGCACCGCGCAGCCCGGCCTCGCCACAACCTTCCCTCCTCCGCGTGGGCCCGGCCCCCAGCCTTCCCTACACGACTGTCACAAATAAGCAGATCATCGAAAGTGGGCTACATATCTGGGAAGGGACTTGTATCCAGAATATATACAGAACTTTTATAACTCAACAATTTAAAAAAATGACCCGTTTAAAAATTGGGCAAAGGATCTGAATAGAACAGACATTAATCCAAAGGGGATATGCAAATGGGCAATGAGCACATGAGAAGTCATCAGAGCAACGCACACCGAAACCACAATGAGATTCCCCTCCACACCCACTAGAACAGTTAGAATCAGATGATAATGAGGCATGACTACTTAACATGTACCAAGTTTTCTTTTGGGGTGATGAAAATGTTTTGGAACTTGATAAATGTACTAAGAACCACTGAGTCATATACTTTAAAATAGTTAATTTTATGTTACATAAACTTCAATTAATGAAAAAAAGAAGTATATCCCAGGTATCTACCCAAAGAAATGAAAATATGTGTCCACACAAAAAGCCTGTACATAAATGTTCAGAACAGGATTATTCATAATAGCTAAAAGGCAGAAAGACCCCAAACGGCCATCAGCTGACGGATGAATGCGGTCTGTCCCTACGCTGGAATATCGTTTGTGACGTGTGCTGCGATATGGATGAGTCTTGAGAACCTGATGCTGAGTGGAAGAAGTGAGTCACAAACGACCACATATTGTACGATTCCACTGCTACAAAATGTCCAGAACAGGCAAATCTACAGAAAGTAGACTGGTGGCTGCCTAGGGCCAGGGGAGGGAGAATTAGTACCGACTGGTCTAGGGTTTCTTTTCGGGGTGATAAAACAGTCTAAAATTAGACTACAGTGACGGGTGCCCAACTCTGTAAACACACTAAAAACCACTGAGTTGCACACTTCAAAAGGATAAACTTTACGGTATGTAAATTATATCTCAATATAGCTGTTATGTTTTAAAAATGGGACTCGCCATTACAGTAGCTTTCACGAGGACTCCACAAGAACTCACTTCGGTCTAACATGCAGACTGACTGACTAACACTGCCCCAGGCTCTGTACTGAAGGGCCGCGCTGTGGTTCGGGAGACAGGAGGAGCCTACACTCTGAGTGCAGATACTTGTTTGAAGCAATCCTCTTCAATCCGCCCTGACCTGGCAGTGCCATCAGCCTTTGTCCTTTGCTACACACCACAAAGGGTGCACCTGGGATGCATAGCCTTAAATGCTACTTAGTAGCCGACTAGTCCACTAACAAAGACTTAAGCTTTTTAAGATAACACAGTGAGCACCCACCAAAGATAGATAGTGCAGGGTGTGGTGAGTCACGGGACAGCACTGCACTGGGTCTCTGCACAGAACTCCAAACTTAGCATATGTGTAAAAGATCCGGGAGCAGGCTGGTCTCTACTGGCTCAAGGTGACTCCCATTCTATTTTTAAAGGACACTATCGAATATGGCTACAGCTGCCAAGATTAAATAACAAGACCCTCTGCTTCATTTATTTGTAGGCTGCCAGGCGCGAGGGTACCAATCCCATCCAGCATCCTGCAGAAGAAAGCCCAGGCTGAAATAAACGTGGTGGTTACGAAACGGGCTCACGATTCTCTTGCCCTCCCCACCTGAAAAGGTGGATGGAACCTAAAGCTCTCCCCTGGAGTGTGGGATGGATTCAGTGACTTGTTTTTAATAAACAGACTATGGTGTAAACAAGAATGTGTAACTTCCAAGATGAGATCATAAACACACTGTGGCTTCTTCCTTGCTCTCTTCTTGGATCACTTCACTGTCTGGGAGAAGCCAGCCATTGTGTCCCAAGGACACTCAAGCACTGCTATGGAAGGGCCCGGGTGTCAAGAAACTAAACCCTCCTCCAAACTACGCATGAGGCCTCTGCCAACAGCCAGGTGTTGCACCATGTTAGAAGTGGATCCTCCAGCCCAGTCGAGCCCTCAGATGACTGCAGCCCTGAACAACACAGGACTGCACCCTCCTGAGATCCCCCAAGCCAAAACCACACAACTAAGGTGCTCCAGAATTCCTGACCTACAAAAGCTGTGAAATAATGTTTAATGATTAAAGCTGCTATTTTGGACTAATACACATCCAAAGGCACAACTTACCTGTTCAAGGCCACCGGTGTGTCCCACCTGGTTTAGATGGTTCCTTAGCAGCTGTCCAGGATCATTTGATGTGTCCCGAGCAAACAGAAGCACAGAGAAAAATGGAACTTCCTTTCCCTTCTCTTTATCATCATATAGTTCAATGGCTCTGTTTAGCATTAGAAATTTTACAGCTTCATAGAGGCTATATTCCTCTTCCTCATTTGTGAACAGTTCATCACAAGCTATCTGCCTTGCTTCGGCAGTTCTTAGTTCCGCCAAGCCTGCCCACTATAACAAGAAAGTTATGAAACAATTAAATGTTTGTTCTAAAAACCCCTGGTATACTTCCATACTAGGAGCACAAAATTATTTTCAAAAGTAGGCGACCATGGGTCATGTACCAACGCTCACAACATTCAAGTTTCTAGCTCAAACAATGGTACTCTTCAGACCACACAAATTCCTTATTCAGCCTTTCCCCCATTAATTTGAAAAAAAAGTACAATGCACTAAGGAGAAGCACTGATGCTATGGAATAGAACTTTTACCTCCCCTAACTTCCTAGACAATGAAATTGGACCAATCAGAAATACTTACGGAGGAGCTAATAAGGTGCGTGTGTGAGGGCTGTGTGTGAAACTGTGAGGGGTAACTAAAATTATACCTGCCTTCAAGGGGCTTACGGGAGCACTTACCACCCAGAAACACCAAGCCAACCTGCAAAAATTAAGATGGGCAAGGAAGACTGTGAGGTCTCTTGAATGTTAGCTTACTAAACTCATCCCTCTAACTTCCTAAAAATATACATGGAGTTTCAAATGAATACATCCACTAAGGAAATTTTTACTGACTCCTGCTTAAGAATAAAGCAGAGTACTTAAGGAATATGGCAAACGTAGGCAAACGTTTTAAGTGAACGAGAAAACTCTATAAATATATGTGCTTTTAAGTAAAAGTGAATGAGGACAAGAGATACCAACATGAACTAGTCCTTATGAATAACCGGTAACTATTGTTCCTCTCAAAAAAGCCATTAAAATTCTAAATTCAATAGTAAATTTTAATGGTAATGACTGTACCACAGGATTCTCTTCAGTATGTGGTTGAAAGCTGGAGCGTCTCCTATTTGCCAGAAGTAGACCCAGCTGGCAGTCAAGAGCATGGCTCTAGAGTCAGAGTCAGGATGGAATGAAGGCCTTGCTACCAAGCAGTTGGTGGCTTTTGCTGGGCACTAACCGACATCTGGGCCTTAATGCCCTCATCTTTAAAATGGGGATAACAACAGCAACAACATCTTGGTAGTTATGAGAATTAAATAACACATGAAACATTTAGTGCACAGCCTGGCACATAGGAAGGACTAGTAATGCTGGCTTAGATTATTAATGAATAATTTTAATGTTATTGTAAATTGGAAACACTTAAAACATTCCCCAAAATGAGGATCTATTTACAGCATACACACCTAATACAGCAAAAATTACACTTTCACAAGACCTTAAAACGGATGAAAAAGAAATTGTCACCAGTGGCTGAACTGAAGAGCCTTCCTGTTTACCCACACAGCCAGAGCCCTGCTCTCAGTCCTCACCTAACCTAGACCCTGGGGTCCCCAGCCCCTGCAAACTCCGTGCTCCACTCCAAGAGGCAAAGAGAACAGAATCCCTATTTCCTTCTCCTGTCACAATTTTTTAATCGCTAGACTTTCCATGAAACACTTATCTTTATAAATAAAAACTAGGTTCCAGGAGGTCAAGGCCCTCAGTTCATTCACTAAACAATATATTTACCAAATGCCTATGTGTCAGGCTTGGTGCTCGACACTGGGTGAAAGGAATGAGCAGGACAGACTCTCATGGAGCTGAAAGTCTAACTGTGTGGCAGACCATACTGGAGGAAACAGATCAACATGTTGGGTAAGTGCTAAAGGACTCCTGAAAGCTGTCTGACGCCTCCTTACCAGCCCCCCAACCCCCATCTACAAAGCCTGGAGTAATCAGCAGGCTCTCAACTCAGGGTTCCTGGTGTGGAGAGCTTCCAAGCCAAGCAACCTAGTGGTCCAGGTGGGCCAGTGTACAAGCAGGACCTCCAAAACCCATGGAATACTCCAGAAAGGGAGTATTTTAATAACCAAATCACTGGGAATCACCTGACCAAGTTCACCCTATAATTCTGTTTCAGAGAAACCCTCAGGAAAGTTTTCAAAAGACAAGTTACTGGGGTGCCTGAGTGGTGCAGTCAGTTAAGCATCTGACTCTTGGTTTCAGCTCTGAACGTGATCTCAGTGTCATGAGATCGAGCCCCACTCGACTCAGACTCTATGCTCAGTGCAAGAGTCTGCTTGAGATTCTCTCTCCCTCTTCCTCTGCCCCTCCCACTCGTGCTCTCTAAAATAAATAAATCTTGAAAAAAAAGGGAAGACAAGTTACTGAATCTAAATAAATAAGCCTTTAGAAAAAATAAAGACAAGTTTCTAACAATCATTCAGAAATGAAAACCAGTCTAATAAAAAGGGACAGAATCTTAAAACATGAACATAACTGGAAAGAATTTAATAAATATGAATTCACATCATTGATAATACTCTAAGAAATAGAGACTAAATACAGACTATCCCTGATACTTGTCAGTATGTCTTATAACAAAGACCACACTTAAGATTTCCTTTTAAGAAAGTTAAACATTTCACTAAACACGATAAATGGTATCAATATTTCTCGATTTTACCAAAGACTTCACAGGAAGAGTTTATGTTCCTTCAAATTATGTTGTCTAAATACCAGCCATGGGCATTTGGCAATACACTACGTGAGGACTAAGAAGTGGTCTGCTGGGGAGATCAGGAGTGAGAGTTTTGCACTTATCAGAGCAAAAAAAAACTACAGATTCCAAACCTTCTTCCTTAGCAATGTGAGGGACTCCTTAATTTTATCAACCAGGTCCTCGCTCTTCCCCTCAAATTTCAGTCCAAGTTTCCACTGCTTTATCCAGTTGTATTTGCTTATGAGTTTTTCCGGTAACTGGATTATCAAGAAACAGAGAGATAAAGAGGTGTTAACATTCCAAGAAATCCATCACAGGATCCTGTAGAAACCACAAAGCCTACAAAACCTACCTTTGTTTCCAGAATTAATTCCCCGCACATTTGTCTGCTGGAAGGAAATGGTGGTTCTGACTTAGATAACAAAGACAGGATCGACCTTGCTCAGCTCCGACCACAGCCAGAACATTCCACAGCACTTTGTGAGGGGACATTAAGGCAGTGTCCCCACCGTGTCTTAACAAACCCACCCAGGTCGCTAGTGGGATCACGGACAGCCTCCCTGCCACTCCCTAAAGCCCAGCTTAGGAAGGTGCTTCGGGCAGGCGAGATGGTCCTGAATAAAGTAAAAACCTGACTCCTTCCTGATTAGAAAAAGAAAGCCTAACTTCCGATATCACCACATATCCTCAAAAGCTTTAATAGTCACAAAAACAATGTGTATCTAGCTTAACTGCCTCATCAATACAGTGAGATAAAAACAGAGTGGAGAAGCCACGGGGATTAATAGCTGCATGGGCAACTCATTAAAGTGACAGCTGAGCTACTCCTTTGCTGGGTTCCTTTTTTTTTTTTTTTTCCTGGAGCGTGTTTTATTTTGTTTCCCCTAATCATCCACAGAATCTGGAGTCTGCAAGGCAAGCTGGGACACAACGTGACCGATGACAGCATGGGAACTCCGACACTCCCCACGTCCCGGGTGTGTCAGGAGAAAATTCATCATGAGGCCGGGCACAGGCGTGTCCCTTCACTGCTGTAACACCCAGAAAGGAAAAGAAAGTTCACCAAGTCAAACCATCATTAGAGAAGAATTCGTTCCTACGGCATCCTACGAGGAACGTGAGCTTATCTAACAGTCAAAAATACAGTTTTAAATGAAGCCACGTGTGTTCAGTTCCCCAAGAGTCTAAGGCTCTAAACACCCTTTCTTTGTACAAAGAGTGATTCTAGCTCTACCTTCTCAATCTACAGCCATCATGGGAAACAAAGGTGGTTCCGTTTCTGAAAAACACAACTGCCATGCAGGTATGTAAATCCCTCTTCAGGTAAAGTTACCACAGTGACAGTGATTTACGATCACTCACTAAGTCAGGGAGGGGCTGCGTCCTCCCCATCTTATTACCACCACCCCAGCTCCGTACCCACATCACCCAGCATTTCGCCCAGCATTTCAGCAACATGTGGGTGGTTCTGCTGCAAACCTTCAATTCAGGTTCTCGAGGTTAATCACCAGAACCTAAAATGCCCCCAAGTGGCAATAAGCTGAAATCACAGTTGGGCACAAGACATGCACAGAGCGGGAAATACGGAACGTAAGCTGGGAAATGGGGTAGGGAGAAGCCTGGAAGACCATCGAAGCCTCACGGGACATTGTGCACACACCCCAGCAGCAGTCACAAACACAACTGAATCACTTGGAAGACCCCAAAGTTCTAACTACATACAGGGAAACCCTGAAACAAAAGTCCGTCTCCTCATTCCTTCCACGCACCGGGCAAAGTGTTGCTAGCGTAATGACCTAGCTCAGGGTTGTAGGCTTCTGGGAGATGTGGAAATCCTGGAGAAAGTCTGAAAAATGAGGTGTGAGAAAGAAACAATGAGGAAAGAATAATACATTTGGAATGATTCATTCAGAAGAAAAAAGAAGATCTAACTTTAAATGCTTTCCAGAGTCACAGTGCATAGAACACACATAAATAACCACTCTTTTCTATGACACACAAAGAGACTGGACTTTTGTCAGAGTAAGAGAGATTTAAGCAAGTAACAAGATTTAAACAAGAAACCATGGGGTGCCTGGGTGACTCAGTCATTAAGCGTCTGCCTTCGGCTCAGGTCATGATCCCGGGGCCCTGGGATCGAGCCCCACATCTGGCTCCTTGCTCCACGGGAAGCCTGCTTCTCCCTCTCCCACTCCCCCTGCTTATGTTCCCTCTCTCGCTGGGTCTCTCTGTGTCAAATAAATAAATAAAATCTTTAAAAAAAAAATAAACAAACAAGAAACCATGAATGAAAATATTTCAAAATAAGGTAGGTAATTAGCTTAGATGGAATTTCACTTGTGCCTCTACTATAAAACTTGTTTTCTCCAGCAAGTTGTCTACAATTCTTGACATCATCACCATGATTAAAAGGCTTGTGGGGTAACAAAGATGTGTCCCCAAAAATAACTCATAAAAAAAGAGCTTTGGTAAACACTGTCACAGGTACCACCTGTTCAGAGACATTCTAAAACTTAGTAAACTTGGAAACCAAAGGATCCCTGCCCTGAAGGACACTGCCTCTCAGGGACCAAGGTGCTGCCCCCAAGTTTAAGAACAGTCAGACCAAGCCAACTCCAATGCTGGGGGTCAGGGTCAGATGATCAACTGCAGTCAAATGTGGAGAGTGGGATCTGGACACAGGGAACCCAAGCAGGGCAGGACGAGAGGGGCAGCGAGGGCAAAGCTCAACCTCCCAGGCTGAGAACGAAGCCAGGCCAGAGGAAACGAGCGTGGGCAGAAAAAGGGTCTCTTGCACTAAGCTCAGATTAAGGGGAGGGTCTCTCAGTCTAGCTCTCCTCTTTCCTTTTAATGTTCTGAAACCAATGACGTTCTGGGAGAGAGAGAGAGAAGATGGCAAAATGCCACAGAAAACATATTTCAATCTGCAAACAGAAGCAGATCGGCCAGCTGCAGGGTGCCTGTCATTGGTGACAAAACAGGGCTTCTCTGGGCTTGCCCGAATTCTCGATGAGGTCAAGAGATGCTCAGCGTGCCCGGCCTGCAGGCCACTGGTCAAGTCTGGTTCTGAATCCACAGACTCACCACAAACTTAGGTGTCCCGGGGGACCTCTCTGCCGCCCCCCCCTCCCCCCCCCAAAAGCGGAAGCGCAGGTTAACATAGAGCCAGTGCCGTTCAGGAGGCCCTAATAGTGCAAAACTAGATGCCCTTCAGCCTGCCTACTGAGAGCTGCTTTTCTGTGTCCCCAGAAGTGGTGAGTGCTCCCACACTTCTAAAAGCCCCATGGACACACAATAACCACAGGTGCTTGTGCCCCGAACCAACCAGGACAGAGGACTGTCACTGAACACGGGGTGGTGGTCAGAAGAGGCCCTGAGCATTTCCGAAAGATCAAGGATCAGGGTAAATGGAGACAGACCCACCATCACTGGCTCTGCTCCAAGTGTTTACAATGGGAAGCCCATGCCACCCTTAACACAAAAGATGTAGACCCAGCTCTAAGGGCACGCAGGGTGTTGCTGAATCTGACAGGACACGTGTTATTCTGACGTATGAGGAAGATGAGGAAGAAATGACTTTCATCCCCCAGTTCCTGTAAGACTGCCTCGTTCAGCAGCACTAACGCACCCCTGGATTTGCTCGTCGTAAGTGAGTATGCTACTAAGTAAGTATTTTATAGGAAAGAGGCTCCTCACTGCAGTCGCACAGAGTCCTGGAGCTGCACAGACCCCACTCCCGCGGCGAGGCGGTCCAGGCGCCCCAGCAGCACGGGGCGCACGCCGGCCTCCGCGCCCCACCCACCCCTCCACGCGCACGCCTGCTGCGGCCCGCCCCGCTCTGCCGCCCCGCGCTCACTCCGGGAGGCCCCTGTCACAGCGGGCTTTCTGAGGGAAGGCCGGCGGAGGGCCCGAAGGAGAACAAGGGTGCAACGGCCTCCAGGCCTGTGCCCTTTGAGGCCGTGTGATCCCTCGGGTACCTCATCTCTGGCTTATCTGGCAACCAACCTTCTCTAAAAGTCGTCTTAATTCCAGACAAACACCCCAGCCCCTTCAACAGTTCCTGAGCAAGACGAATCATCTCAGTCACACTCCCCTCTGTACTGAGGATACAGGCACAAACCCTCAAGATGGGATCCAACCAGCCCAGCTCAAGATGGGACGGTCACTGCCTGTGGTTCAGAAGCGTTCAAGACAAGGCTTCTCACTGCCAGCCTCATGTCATGTGGCTCTGACTGAGCATGCAATCGATGCACCCTGATGACCTCTGTAAGCCGCCGATCGATGCATCCTGATGACCTCTGTAAGCCGCCAATCAATGCATCCTGATGACCTTTGTAAGCTGCCGTTAAGGCAGATCTCCCGCAGCCAGCACTCGTGGGTTTTGTTAGTGTTTGTGTTTTTTGTGGTTTTGTTTTTTTTTTTTTAAGCACAGGGCTGCCAATTTTCTTCCAATTAATGTCTTATCATCAGTTCTGCCCATTCCCGCCCACCAGACTCTGAGATATTCTATCATCCAACCTATCATGTGACTTCATCTGATGTAGGTCATACACACAAGTCACACTGACACGACATTCTAGGGGGTCACTACCACACTGCAGATTTAAAACAAAGAAGGCCAGGCATGGGACACATCCCCTGAGCCTCATCTCCCAGGAAGCCTCCCTGGGGCACACGGGCCGTCTACTACACCAGTCCTCTTAACACCACGCAGAAGGTGCTCATGTCTTGAACTGGAGCTAAAACCACAGAACGTGCATTCTAAAACCCCAACAGGTTCTCAGATGGGACAACGGACAGCCCACTTACTACAGACACCAACACTGAAGTCGAACTGCTCCTAAGTGCTTTTTACAGACTACAAACACCAGCTCTCTAATTCAGCGGAAGTGTTCAAATACATTTTACCACGTTTCTCTTCTGGGAAAAACAGCCATTATCCTTGGTCGCTTTACTATGCAAAATCATCCCCGCCACACGAACCAGAATGAGGCCACATGCCGGCGTCGCACGGCAGACAGCCCCGGCACCCGGCACGGGCTGGAAAGGGAGCGCTTTCTCACAGAAACGGTCGGAAACGTGGCGGACTCAAACCTGCGGCAGCAGCGTACCAGCGTGAGCTCCGGGTCCTGCAGCCAGGAGGGGGGCGCCGCCGGCTGGCTCATCGCCTGGAACAGCGTGGCCCTCAGTGCGCAGTAATTGTCTCCGCGGACGCGCCTGATGGAGGTGAACTTCTGCGACACCTCCTCGTAGCCCTGGGTAAAAGCATCCAAGAGTTCAAAATGGTCATTACTGACTTGAGACCGTAGGGTAAGTTTTACTCCTGTGGGAAAAAAACGTGCCCCTGATCCCCGGAAGAATGAACACCAGGCTGGCTGAGTCCCTCACACAAGCCACTCTAAGTCCTTCTCTGACTAGTCAAAAGAAACTACCAAATGTTAATACTGTACAAAACATCAGCATATGTAACCGATACAACACACAGGAACACATAAATGATATACACCAAATATTATGAAAACACTAGCCACTCCCGAGGTCAGGAGTTAGATGTCCCTTTCTAAACAACTGCTGTAACACTCACTTACTGATAACCAACATCCTGAGGGGTTTAATCTGTGTGGAAAGTGACCCTAACTCTAACAAAGAGATAGGAAAGAACAGAGAGAAGTACTAAGTTTATATCTCTGAATTTTAAAAAATTAAAAAAAAAAAAATCCCAAGTTCCCATGATGTATTAAAAACAGTCTACATGCTAGGAGATGTCTGGATCATTCTATCAGACTCTTTACAAAGTGGATTTAAGTGTCATTCGGTCTGGAAGTGAAACGAGGAAATGAAAATGTTCAGTGACATACGTGTTGTCACTCAAAAACAGCCACCAGAAAATGGTCCACAGGCACCAGGACAACCTGATTTCTCCAGCGGGATGAGGCTCGAGCATCAGGATCAACTTCGCTGCCTCCTGCACTTCACTAGCCTCGTCCTGCGGGCCCTTCTGCTCATCTTGCTCATCCGTGACAGTCACTTGAAACTCTGCTTCCTACCCTGCCCTCACACAAAGGAAGGAGCACCGCCCTCGTCATGGGGTGGGCGCCATGCAGACTCTGACTAAGCACTGGACCTCTGTTATTAGTTTTCAAGGTTCAAGTCATAGCATGATGTTCTCAGCGGGCGTGAGTCGCGTTTTCATTCAGCGCTCCAATCGCTGCAACATACTAAGGGTCCATCAAGCACCTTTGCCCTTTGGCAGACTCCTGTTACCCTGGGAATATTCTCGATGGCTGACCCAACTGTAACCGCATCTTTCCAAATGCATAAGTTACTCATACTATTTCAGAGGTGAATCAAACTTCTAAAATTAAATTTGAGTTTATACACACTTATTCCCAAAAGAATATCCAAAACAAAAATAAACTGTAAGATAAATAAGGACAAAAAAAGAACTGAGATCCGAACTGTTACCGGGCCCCTGAGATGTTCTAATTACTGCCACGGGTCCCAAAGTGACACTGGTCTAACTGATGTGCCTTTGATTATTTGGTCACTGAAAGAGTCTGACTACATGGTCAAATCTTTCCCTCAAACTAAAATCACAAAGAAAGGGTTTTAGCATGAGTTCCAAAATATGGAATATTTGGATAACTTCAGAGATACTTTCAAGTTATGGACCCTGTGGTGCCAACTGTTAGATCCTTTAAAAGAGTCGGAGGGTCATAAAGTAAAACTGCAAGTCAGGGAAAACATTTCTGGGAAAGATGAGAAAACATATGTTAGGTATCCAGCCTCCTGGTTATCCAGTTTGATACAGGGGTCAAGTTTGGAAAACCTGTTAAGTGGGCAAAATATACACATTCAGCAGATGGCCTCACAAATTAAACGTTCATAGTCGCGGGCACTTCATGACTGAGCTCTCTACCAAGTGCCTGAGACACAACTACAGCTCAGACTGGCAGGGAGCAAGGCTCACACTGGCTCTCAGAGCTTTAAGTAGCAGCTACATTCTGAAGAAGGTCAGCCCATTTCAGGGCATGTGAAAGAGGCACAATGTTTTTTATAAAAACGAGCTCTGAGGAAAAGAACAGATATATACAAATATTAAAAAATTTTAAATCCTAAACAATACAGATCTAAACAACAAAATAGATATTCCTATCAAATATGACAGGTCAGTATCTCTAATATAAAAAAAGTACGTTCAAATCCATAATATAAATAATCCCAAGAGAAAAATGAGCAAAGAATAAACCCAGAGGTTATAAGAGATGGTGGAAGTTTTAGGTCGAAACTGCCATTTTTGTAGCTCAGAAATGGTCAAAGAGTAGCAATTTCAGGGGCGCCTGGGTGGCTCAGTCGTTAAGCGTCTGCCTTCGGCTCAGGTCATGATCCCAGGGTCCTGGGATCGAGCCCTACATCAGGCTCTCTGTTCAGCGGGGAGCCTGCTTCTCTCTCTCCCACTCTGCCTGCTTGTGTTCCCTCTCTCACTGTCTCTCTCTGTCAAATAAATAAATAAAATCTTTAAAAAAAAAAAAAAGAGTAGCAATTTCACATCGTTCAACCCACTAAGGAATGCTGGATTCAGGGTACATCAAGGGGAGAACCAACAGGGGGCTGTGCTTGACCAGTGTGCAGTGAAAGTGGGCCCGACTATGACTGAGAGTGGCCCCAGTCACAGGAGGACCACGTCACAGGAATCCCCAATGTCCCACAGCCTTGGACACTCCCTAAGGGTCGTCAATCTACATGATAGGACCAGGAGGATCAGCTCCAGGGACACCTTAAACGAAGGGATTAGTTTCAGATCCCTCTGCACATGGAGTGTGGGAGAGCCCAGGCCCCTCGGACAGGAGGGCAGGAGACCAGACCCAGGTAGGGACAGCAGTTGGGATGGCATCTGCTGGTCCCATCCCTAAAGCTTTTACCACACAAGGCCAGAAGGACATTCCCAAATGACCCCAAGAGGACAACCAATGACTGGCCCAACTCTAAACAGCACAGCGTTGTTTAAATGTGTTTTTCAAAGAAACAAAGTTACTGAACAACTAAAGCTGGCCCTATATTAATACTGTGACTTGAAACAAGTCCCTTACCTTTGGAGTCTGTTTCCTCATCTCTAGAATTAGAATACCAATGTCTACATGATCTAAAGTAACTACGTCTAAAAATATAAAAGGACATATTATGTAACTACTGATGACAGACTATTTCAAAGACTTGCAACTTCGTGTATCTAGGCATCATACCTTTTTCATACACGTGGCTTTTTGTGTATTTCCCCTCCATTCTTTTTTGCAGTAGTCCATGATGTCCATTTCAGGAGCTACACTCAGTCTGGCTTCTGCTGAAGAATCAGAAAGGGCGGTGGGTGGGTAATGGAACAAAGCATAATCAAGATAACAGTACTGCTTTACTCAGGTTACGTTTTCTCTAACTTCATTCCAAAAAGATCCAGAATCCCGCCACTACCTATCCCCACCCCCTCACTCCTAGATAACCCGGAGGTCTTCCAATGGATCTCCAGTGTCACCATACCTTCTTCTCCACATGAAAGCCAGAGTGATGCCTTTAAAACTTCAGTCAGACAACTGCCATCATTCCTGGGTTCTGAGAGCTCCAGAGCCTCCCACTGGAGTGGCATCGATGTCCCCACTTCCTACAACAGTCCCCTGTCCTGTGCCCCGCCCCCCCCAATGCCTCTCTGGCCTCGGCTTCCACACCTCCCCACACTGACTCCATCAGCCCGACCAGCAGCCAGCCTCCCCTGGACCTCTCGACACACTGTGGAGCTCTGGCACTCCCTACAGGTCTCTGCTCAAATGTCACCCATAATGTCACACATACACACCTTCACTCTACTCCCCTTACACGGTTTTGTTTTTCTTCTGGGCACTGATCAACACCTGACATATTTCTTTTTCTGCATTTCTCCCTAAACCCCCACTCACACCCACACCCACGGACACAGTAATGCATGAGTTCCCTTCAGGGCAAGGGCTTATTTTGTGTCTCAGCTGTGTCCTTAGCACTTGGAACTTCACGGACACAAGAAGAATATTATTCTAATCAAACTAATCGTGCAGTAGCCTGAACTATGAAAAAATACATCTAACGATTTTTAAGTAGTTTTTTATATCCACTATATAAAGAGATAACACCTACTATAACAAAAAATATATTTGTCTTTATTTATTTATACTCTGCCCTCATCCCAAAAGGCTATAAGGTATTGATAATAAGCCAGAAACTAATGGAGCTCTCAATGTTAGCTGAGCTACAGACCTCACTTAACTCTTGTAAGACATCTAAAATACAACTTGCAATCAGACAAATTATATAATTAAAAAATGGGCTTTATATTTCCCTTGTTTAACACGTAAGGTTTGGGGGTTGATTTTGTGGTATACACGTACGCACGCACATGGGTATGTGTGTTTTAGGAAGAAAGTGAAGTAATGCTCAGGCATATCTTGACTTCCTTTTAAAATTAATGAAGAAGTAAATGTTAGCAAACAAATTAAGATATAAACACAGAAGTACCTTATAATGTATTTACTCCTGAGGAAAGATGTAAATTAAAAACACACTCAGCTCGATTCAACACATATTTACTGAACGTCTACTATGTGCCAGGCACGGAGCTAGAAACTGGGGTTACCAAGGCAGTGAAGACCCAGATTCTGTCCTGAACGGATTTAAAGACTACTGAAGAAGGGGCGCCTGGGTGGCTCAGTCGTTAAGCGTCTGCCTTTGGCTCAGGTCATGGTCCCAGGGTCCTGGGATCGAGCCCCGCATCGGGCTCCCAGCTCAGCACGAAGCCTGCCTCTCCCCCCTCCACTCCCCCTGCCTGTGCTCCTCTCTCACTGTGTCTCTCTCTGTCAAATAAATAAAATCTTTAAAAAAATAAAAATAAAGACTACTGAAGAAGAAAAGACTACAGGCGTTGACAAGCCAGAGTGTGACAGATGCAGGGATGAGTAAGGAGCACAAAGTCCTTCTTGTGGGTTACAGATAATTCTGTGGCATGGCTTACAAGTGAAACACACCCTGGAAGCATAATATCCAGAGACCACAAATACCAATGCTGCCCAGCCAATCCTAAATACAGACCCATCAGTGTTTAAATTCAAGAAACTTGGGAGTGCCTACTCAGTGGAAGGAAGAGTTCCTTGTATCTGTCTTCTCACTCACCTCCCCACAAAGTACAAGTACAAGGAACGGCAAACATCCAGAAGTGAGGACACTGATTAGGCCATGTTTTCCCACCAGGCAGCCCTCTGAACAGAGAGCACATTTCCAGCTCAAGAAGGACCTCATGAGAACGAAGTGCAGCCTCCCTGCTCTCCTGGCCTGCAGTCCTCATTCCTGCCCACACCAAGGTAAGCCCTGGCCTGTGGGCAAGGCGGGCAGGTCCACCGCCTCAGAACTGAGAGGAGGAGGCAGGGGACCTCACCGGTCAGGAGGCCAAGGCACAAGCCATAAGCCTGTGCTGAATGAGAGGCCTGCAGGAGGCAGCAAGGACGGGGAAACGGAGTACCCACACAGCTGCCAGCACCAAACTGATAGTCGGGAGTCCCGTTCTGCGCTGTTCTTTGGGAGGCAGGCTCCAACAGCCCCTGCAAGCCCACCTTTAGGAGAGAAGTGGAGGCACAGGACAGGCAGCCCCTGACCTCAAGCAGCTTCGAGTTTCAGACAGTTTGTTTAAATGCAAACTACACAGACTCTGACTGTTTCCAAGAAAGAACATTACTAATGTCAAAAACAAAAACAAACCAAAACAAGCCAAAGGAGAAGCTGAAAACCAGAGGGGTAATCAGGAGCTCAAATAACCAAGAGGTCTGGTCCTTAACCACCATACGGCGACAAAGACAAGGATTCAGAACCTGGAAAGATGGGAACTTAATACTGAACTTCAGAAAGCTGGGCCTCTGGGTCAGAGGGTGGGCTGGGGAGGAGAAGAATCGCACTTTTTCTGTAATGGGCCAGAGAGTAAATAACATATGCTCTGAGGGCCATAAGGTTTCTGTCACAACTAGTCAACTTTACCATGTGTGAAAGCCACCACAGACAACAGGTAAATAAGAAGTTCCAATAAAACTTTATTTATAAAACCAGGTAGCATATCAAATTTGGCCAGGGAGCCATAGTTTCGCTGACCCTGGGACCCTTTTGTTAGCGAGGAGTGTTTTTTTACTAACAGAGAGCATAAGAAAACTTTCTGCCTTGGCCTGGGCTCTGGCTTGGGAAAGAGGAAGTCTCCCTGAGAATTCATAACCACAGGCTGGCTCTCATACAGGGACAGGACGGGAATTCAGACTAGCCACAAGACCCCGGAAACTCAAATTTAGAAATTAACACAACGTGGCCCAGAGTAGGTGACACGGCGGGTGCCTGGCAAGAATAAGGCTGAACTCTCTCCCACTCAAGCCAGACTACACAAGCCCTACACAGATACACAAAAGCTGAGCTTACAATTCAAACTTTGAAGAAACAAGAAATAAGCAGAAACAGCAACGGGCATAATTAGACCTGCCAAGATTTTCAGAGAATGAAATTATGAGACCCAGAAGAGTATGTTTTAAATACTTAAAGAAATAAAAGGCGTAAGAAACATGAGCAAAAGGCAATAAACTATCAAAAAGAGACCAGGCAAATCTGGGAGAAAACAGCATTTCTCTTTATTTCTTTTTTTAAGATTTTATTTTTAAGTAATCTCTACACCCAATGTGGGGCTTGAACTTACAACCCCGAGATCAAGAGTCACAGGCTCCACTGACTGGGCCAGGCAGGCGCCCCCAAAACTTTTCCAAAAAAGAAAATAGACCTGAAGAAACTGTCTAGAATGGAACAGAGGCTACAAGATAAAAATATCTATGAAAGGGCATGTTATGAAGAGACTCAGATGACTGAAGGAGGTGAGCAAACATCTACTTAGAGTTCTGGAAGGAGTAAGCAGAGAGAATAAGAAAAGAAGATAATGGCTGAGAATTCTCCCAAACTAATGAAAACTAGGCATCGAGGGATTCAAAAAGAAGACCTCAAGCAGTAGATTTTTAAAAGTCCACACTTAAGGGCGCCTGGGTGGCTCAGTTGGTTAAGCGACTGCCTTCGGCTCAGGTCATGATCCTGGAGTCCCAGGATCGAGTCCCGCGTCGGGCTCCCTGCTCAGCGGGGGGTCTGCTTCTCCCTCTGACCCTCTTCCCTCTCGTGCTCTCATTCTCTCTCTCTCAAATAAATAAATAAAATCTTTAAAAAAAAAAAAAAGTCCACACTTAACAGACAGCAGAAAGTAACTGCAGAACACTGAAGACAAAGAGAAGACAAAAACACCTGACACATCATCTACCAAGGATTAGTCTGACTGCAGTACTGTTAACTACCCATCTTCAGTAAGATTAAACTGTTCATCTGGAGTTCTTAAAAAAGAAAGATAAGACTAAATTTGCAGGCAAACAGAGCTTCCCACGGACAGACCCTTACAGAGGCACTTCCAAAGGATCTTATTTCAGGAAGGGCAACAACCCAGAAGGACTAAGATGCAACCTCAGACGAAAGCCAGAAATGACACAGCTCCCTCAGAAGCTAAAACACCTGCGGAGGGAGGGCTTCCCCGGCGGACGGGGCGAACCACAGCAGAGCACCTGCAGAGTGACAGAGAAAGCAAGAGTCCCTGCAAAGGCAGCGGGGACACACAACGACGGAGGCAGCACTTTCTCCTCAGGACTACGACTAACAAGGACTCCGGCCCGAAGTGAACGGTGTGCAACGGCGGCAGCAGAAACCGAGCATCCTCTGCAGTTCGTGGAGGACCGGGACAGGTGGCCCCGGGAACTCGCCTGACGGGACAACTACAGAGAAGCTGGTCTGCTGTGGCTACCACAGTAAAGAGTTCCGCCAATTCTTGTGAGGATGACTCAAGAAAGACCTGAAAATGATCAAAAACCCCACTTTGCACCATTTGTTCCTAACTACACACACGACGGTATTTTTGTTCACCATAAACCAAACACAAGCTAGTGCTCAGAACTAACCAGCAGCAGGTCATGAGAGAGAATGCCACTTGCAAGTCACTTATGGTGTATCCCCCAAGTGCAGCATCCCCTCAGCTCCAGCCCGAGCTAGCCGGGGAAGTGGGGGGTTCTTCTCCACAGACAGCCCCGTCGGGCCTGCCCGCAGTGCAGGCGGCCCGGGGTCCTGCCTCCCCCTAGCAGCAACAGGCCCTGGGTACAGGGGTCTGAGGGGTGGGGGCAAAAGAGCAGGCCTGACTGAGCAGAAACATGGACAAAAGGTCATGACACGATGAGAGAATTCGTGATCCCATGATCATTTTTTCTTACAAGCCAATCAAATTCACATGGCCATGTGCGTGCAAAGACACAGGGAGCCAAGCTTCCCAAGAAGTCCTTCCGTTTGAAGTGAAAAGTGCATTTCAACTCCAAACACTCCCTCTAAGAATACGAAGGAAATCACGGACTGAGAGAGGGTGGTGTCAAGAGAGTGAACAAATCCTCACGTGTGCAAAAATGATGTGAATGTAAAGAACACAGGGAGAATATCTGCGTTACGATTTTAAAACCTCAGGAAACAGTATTCCCCAAACATACGTCAGCAAAATGAATAATTAGATGCAGCTAAGACCGTATGCATAAGAATGTTTCCTAGGAAGCACATCTCAGCATTTTATGAAAATGAATATATCGACTTACTGCATTTTCTACTGTAAGTAGTAAGAACTCTATGAATAAAACAATTCCAAACATACCTGATAACCCTCTTTCATGTGTAAGTAATTCTTTCTCCTTTTCTATTTCATCCGCGTCACGATACATGTCCTCCTCACTGAAATCACACCAAATCAGACATTTCAAAAATTTGTTGCACTGACATTTTCCCTATTACAATATGCACTTGCTTAAAAAATTTATCAGACACTAAATGTTTAACTTTTTTCATATTACATTGATGATGATCTGATATAAATATGGATCTTAAATCTCGGATGCTCATGCTTCTATCATTCCACTTCAGAGCTTCTTAATTTAAATGAGACACTTTAACATCACTCCACTGGCTACATGGCTCTGAGGCCTCTTTAACTGGAACATCTATTAATGTGGGCTCAACCACGTTGGTAAGCATCTTAGCATGTGTCTTATCAACGACGCCCTGTCACGATCCTATCAAGTTCCAAGAATGGAGACAGTACTAATAAAAGTATTTACACAGGAATGAAGGCCAAGTGCTTTATTATGTCACAAGCCAATTTTACAATCACCGCTTTAAAAACAAGGATAGGAGAACATCAATTATTTTAAGTCCCCAAAGCTCAAAAACCTCCCAAGGCTCCTCCTGCTCCCTGACCCCCCCCTCTGAAGCAGCCAGCCACATTCTGTTGAGCACATCCCTCTCGTCCCACATACTTGAAGTGCTGCCACTCTGACTGACTTTGTTCTTAAGTCTCTAGTCTCATTTAGTGAGTGAACAAGAACCTGCTATGTACCAGAAAGGAAAAAAAGCCCACTGGGTGCTAGACAAGGACTATCGCCTTTACCCCTCAAGATAAGCCACAACCTGACAATGAGGAGAAACAGAAATACCAACCCTATCTGTACTAAAACCACAAGATATGTGAAAGCCCAAACAGTCCAAAAGGGGACAAAGAAACAGTAAATGACCAAGGACAACAGAGCCTCCATGCCAGTGAAGGAACATCTGCTGGATGGTAAGACGGTAAACCTGAAAAAACCCCCAGAGGGGCTCGGGGACTGGCAGAGCCAAGGACTTCTCAGGGTACAGGAGACCCCCAGAGCTGGAAGCGAGGCAACTGGCCGACGTACACATAAAGTGTAACCAGACCCCCAATTCCCTATGCTTCCTCCCCATGACAGCACAGCCCAATCTCCACACAAGACAGAGGCTCCAGGCGCAAGGAAACACAGGAAGGAGTTAATAAGGTCAGTAACAAATAAGGAATTAAGCGAATGACCTGAAATACTCCCATCCCCAATTCCCCCGACACCCCAGCTCCTGGTACATGGCCCAGCATAGCAGGGGGAAAGAGGAAGGAAGAGGTGAGCAGATGAAGAAGGGATACTGAGAGAAGCAGACTGAAGTGGGAAATCTAACATACCCACCTTCCCCCACCTCACTGAAACCCTTTAATTCCCAAATAAGCAGGGAAGTCTCTTATGTGGTGGACCCAACCCACCACACTAGCCTGTATTCCGTGATTCCCCTACACACACCCCCGCTTCAGTCCAAACACTTGACCAACACTTAGCCTCTGCTTTTACACTGGTGACTGGCTCAGTCCATTCCCTCTGCTGGAATGGCTCACTGCCTAAGACATCAGGACACACACGGTATGGGTGACCCGGCTATAGAATGCCATGGCCAGAGCAGAGACCCAGAAGTTACAAGGTCAGGTTTTAACCACTCCGCCCTCCAGCCCTCATTAGCCCTGCGTGTGTGACCATGGAACTGAAGTAACCATACCTCTCCGTGCCTAAATTCAACCACTTAAATGTAAGCACTGTAAAAAGGACAGTGAGAGAACTCACCCCAGAAGACTGTTGTGAAAATGGACACATGTAAAGTATCAGCTCTCCAAAAAGTTCGCTATTCTCATTCTCGTACTACACCACTAGCGCACGGTACTAACAAACAACTCACCCAATGTCATTCCTTACTCCTCTTTTTCCTCTCTAAATAAAGGTAATGATGTGTGTGTGCGCCTATTTTTTAAAATACCGTAGGGCTGAGGGAACCTCTTAGGAAAAGGTACTTTCCATGTTCCCTGACCCCCATGAGATTCCAAGTAAAAAGTATGGTGTCACCCAGGAAGCCCATGGCCAGAGGTAAAAGCAAACCGAAACCAGATTCACAGGGACTATACAACAAATGCCTAAAATCAAAAGTGACTAAATGTGTTAGTTCTTCTTTTAATAATTTCATTTTATCTTTTGGCCTCCTTCCCAGCTTTATCAAATAGGAGAGAAACTCTGAGCCTACAAAACAAGCACTGAAGTGAACTACTTTCTTGACATTATCAGAAGCATGTCTTCAGGCAAGCCACTTCCCTAATCTGGGCCATAGTTTTTCTCATCTTCAAAGTGAGAAGAGAGGACAAGATCTGTACAATCTGAACGGTTCCTCTTCCAGGTCTTAAGTTCTACCAGACTACGAATCTACGTGTTGTTAAAAACTGTACTTCAAGCGAATTCTGTGGCTCTGCTACAGGCATATTTGCCTCCCCCTTTGTCCTCTTCCTTTTAATCTGCAAAATACCCCAAATGCAATCCCAACACCAGTGCCCAGAGGAAGTTCTCCAAACAAGCATCTCTTGGTACAGCCACACATAAAAATTCCCACAAAGGCCAGGAGGAATGGAACGAAAAGAAATCAACGTGAGAACTAAATGTGAAGGGAAGACAGAGTAGAAAGGAAGATTATTGGAAATAAAAAAGCACTGATTCAAGACATACAAAAGCAGCAAAGCAGAAATGGGTAAATGGGAGGCCAGCATGCATTCAAATTACTTTAACCACAACCAGATTTCATTCAGATCCTGTGCACAAATGTTTGCTAACTTGCCTGGCCACCAAGGACAAGTATCCAAGGACATTTGCTAACTTTACTAGGCCACTAAGGAAACTGTAATATCGCCTTTAAAGGCCACCTTAAAAATGATACTAAAGCTCTAATTCCTTGGAGAGAGAATAAATTTTAAGTTCAAGCAATACATTCAATTACTATGGTCAGGAAAGAAGATACTTAACAGCCAAAATGAAACAGTCATCCAACATAAGGACAACCAACCAGAGAGAGAGAGAGGGAGAGAGATTTGTGAGAACAAGAAAAATAAAAATTTTATTTAAGAAAATAGTTCACTCAATAATCTTTTGCTTTGGGCGCCTGGGTGGCTCAGTTGGTTGGGCGACTGCCTTCCGCTCAGGTCATGATCCTGGAGTCCCGGGATTGAGTCCCGCATCGGGCTCCCTGCTCAGCGGGGAGTCTCCTTCTCCCTCTCCCACTCCCCCCTCTCGTGCTCTCTCTCTCTCTCTCACTCTCTCTCTCAAATAAATAAAATCTTAAAAAATAATAATAATAATAATCTTTTGCTTTAACCTTTTTAAGTATCAGAATATTAAGGCTGAAAATGACAAAATAAAATATTTATATATTAAACATATATTTATTTATATTTTATATTTATATATTATTTGTTTGTTGTCTATTTATTATATCTAAACTAGAGGTTTGAATTTTTGTTATGAGAAGGGAAGGTAGTGAAAAGAAAAAGGATATTGCATTGTAAGATAAAATCGTCAATGATGACCAGTTTCAGAAATTTAGTAGCCTTTTGTGTCTGTATGTCAAGTTGGGGTGGGGATGGAGAGTGCTTACCATTTGGCACTAAAGAGGCCACTGAAACCCAAAGACTCAAATGATCACTACGGCGAAAGGTTTCCTTCTAGAAAACATACAGATAGCTAGAAAAGTAAGACAAAGTCCTAAAAGTGACTTGATTTCTTGGGGACAATGGCATGTGAGTCATGCTCAATTACACAACTGAGTTAAATTTTAAAACCAAAATCCTAATAAGTTCTACTTAGAAAATTCTTAGTTTAGCACGCTGTTATTTTAAAGTGTGCATTTTCAAGGTCTGGTTTTCTCTTAAGCTAGAGATGAAATATTTTATTCTTAATATAAAGGCAATAAACATGATTGAATGAATGACATGATTCTGCAGACCAAATTATAACCTCTCTTGCTCTGTTCAAAGACCTGTATAACAATAAATGTTTCAAAATTTAATTAAAAAATGCTTACTACAGAGACAAAATTATACCGTTGCCAAGAACAAAAGCTATCAACTAGAAACACAGAGCTCAGTGAAGCAAGACATTTCTGTAGAGCCAATTTTTCAATTTCTGATACATGTAATATGAAAAAAGTCAATTCTAACATATATGCAAAACCAACAAGACAGCATTGTAATCACTCACCATTATGAACATTTGCATTAAGTCCCCCCTAATTGTCTAAAAAAGCTAACTATGGCTTTGTTCAGCTTTCTGAACTTGAACACCGTAGTTCATGCTTAACTTGGCCTACCCTAGAAGACCCACGGCCCAGGCAGTGTTCGTAAGACAGTGTCAACCACTGTGACGCCAATGTACCTTCCCACAAAGGCACAGGAAAAGCAAAGACCACTCAACCCAGCCTTTCTCCACCACTTAGCGGTTGTAGAGATGGGTGAACAACACATCAAATGCAGGAAAGTACCGGCACCCAAGCCAAAATTCCATCTCCCTTCTGCAAGTGGACTTTCCATGACTGGCTCATGCTACTCCACGTGACTTCCAGAGGTAGCTGGGGACAACCCAGACATCCTCAACAATGAGGTCTGAAACAGTCTTTACTTCTAGGTGGGAGAAGGGGCAAGAGGGAGTGGTTGGTACCCCATCAAACATATCCCACGGGAGCTAAGGAGTGAGGCGAGTGGGAAAACACTTTCACACAACAGTACATGTAGCAACACCCAAGAACAATGGTTTAGAAACTCGTTGCTCACAGCCCTTTTGAAAATCCATAGCTTTCATCAGAACCTCAGGCCAGAAAAACAAATACACATAAAATTTCACCTTCAATTTCAGAGGGGTTCACGGACATTTGCTCCCCACCACACACAGTCAGCATATGGACCCTAGATTCAAACCATGTCCCCCCATCAGGCAGGCAAAGACCGGCCTTGAAGTAGTCTTGCTTCTCAATTCCCTAAGCATGTCTAGCCTGGCCACCGACCATGTCTCAGGACCATCTTGGTCCTCAAGGACAGTAGCTTCCTTAGCTAAAGGCAAGAAGTGGACACAGTCTCAGTTTCAAATGCAGGGGCGGGGTGAGCAGGGGAGAGAGCACAGCAGATGTGCTCACAGAAACAGTAAGGAAGCTCCAAGAAAAGTCAACCAAATCTGGTGTGACCTAAGACTTCTCCAAATCAGACCATAAGTCATCTTGTGAGCCATCCTCAGGGCTTGTCCAGGGGATGCCAGCCAACGGCAGCTCTCAAATGAGCTAGAGGAGGGAAGGGGAGAGGTCATTATAAATCATGTTCCTCTGCCTGATTCTGCTGAGAAAGCCAGAAAAAGATGGAGGTAGGCTCCCACCAAGGCATCAGGGAACTTGGCCCTGAAACCCACTCCCTGTCTCCCTGGTCAAGAAGCACCTCTGCAATCTGCAACTCAGTTTCCTATGTGTAAATGACAAACCAAGGCTGGTTTTTTTTCTTAGATTCCTTTCAGACTGTCTGTAAATCTACTGACAGCGGTAAGAAGGGATGTGCCTCAAAACCTTTTCATCAGGAAAGAGTGCTCCTTCCCACCATGGGCCTATTTCCCCAGGTTCTGACTCTGGAAACCACATCCAGCAGAAAAACTTGCCAAATAACTATGCATACTTTTAGGAACATGGTTCTGGCTTCAAAGTTTCTGCATCTCAAAGGGGCATGAGAATGCTCCACTCAAGGCTAAGGTGCAGCTTCTGAGGGGGAGGGTCTCTAACCGGGGAGTCACAGCTCTGACCACCAGGGCAAGAGGAAGTCAGCAGCAGTTAGAAACCAGCATGGACTGTGGAGGGGCAGAAGCAGAAGACCACCCCCCCACCCCACCCCCTCACTCCCACCACTGCCCACCCTACTTTACCCTCTGCAGAGTCTGAGGTCGTTCTCTAACCCAGAGAGCAAACCTGCAGCCAGAGACCACATCAGCTCACACACGGGCCTGCACAGGGGTTTCAGTTAAAAAATAAAATGCTACTTTTTAAAAATCAGGATATTTCATTAAAAATTCAGGATATCTGGACTCTTTAAATACAGAAAATCCAGCAGGCAGAGGGTAGAACCTAGTGGACTCTGACTCCAACAGTGATGGACACAGCTCTCCAGAAACCCATGGTCCACACCTGGTCAGCTGCACTCACTGAGGTCACCTGCACAGGCAGGAGTTTGAGACTGCCTACTCCAAATCCTTCCCAGTGGCCATTAACACGTTACGTGTGGATAATACCATCCCAGAGGACTTAGACGCTCAATAAATGAGAACGTCAACGCCCATGGTAAAGAACCATGCACATCAACGTTGTAATACACTAGCTGCATAGCAGGCCTGCCAAGGACCCCTCTTCAGAAAACGCCAACAACAACAACAAAATCACATTTGAACACACCTTACAATTCAACTTGCCAGCCAATTAAGCTATCTGTCAAAATGGTTGAGTGCTTTCATCAATTATATGTGCCTAGAACCTGAAACCGTAGAAACAGTTTCAGCTTTCAAGTCTATACTCTGCTTCCATCTCACTCCCAGGCCCTTGCTAAAACCATAAACGCCTGCCTTTATGCTGCCTCCTTTACAATTCACTAAATAATTGATCTAACCAGCGCTGCCTTTCGTATTTAAAAACAAAGGGGGAGGGGACAGCTAGTTAAGCCGTTAACGGGCAAGAGAGAATTGGGTCAGACTCCGTCCAAAGTCTGTTCAACAGGTGGGGCGCTCATCAAGCGGCGACTTGCCTTCCAAGAACAAACTTGTCGCGTGGTTCAGTTTTCCTCTGGCTGTGATAGAAGCAGCCTTACTTCCTTCCCCAACCATGTCGGAGGAAAGATTCACTGGGAGTTAGTTCTAACAGGACGCTTTTCCGGTTTGTGTCCCAAGTTCCTGGAGCTTTGTTTTAACTTCAGAGCTCTTCAGATTTAAAACCAGGGGGCACTGGGTGACCAGAATTGTGAGACCCCGGGCCCTGAGGAAAAATATCTGTACGGACACTGGATACGAGTGTCTTCGAATTCCTCTCCGTCGCCGACGACCTTACCCAGAACCGAGGATGCGAAGGGCTCTCCGCCGGTTACTCCCCAGCCCAGCCCAGCCCAGCCCAGCCCACGCCCACCCTTCCCGAGGGGAACAAGCCCGGCACCCCCGCCCGTCCCCGCTGCGCCCCGCGACTCACTGCTCGGCTGGGCACCGCACCGCGATGCGCGGCTGCCCGCCGGCCGCCGCCTTCCCGCCCTCCGGCGCCGCGGCTCTCGCGGGGCCCGGGGACGCGGCCCCCGCCTCCCGCGCCGGCTTCTCAGCACGGCTCGCGCCCGGCCACGCTCCGGGCTGGGGCATGGTGCCCCGACTCATGGGGCCGCCGGCGGCGGCGGCGACACACCGGTTCGGCCGCCTCCGAGCGATCCAGGGCCCCTCCCGTCGGGGCGCCCGGCCGTGGCCGCCGCCGCTCCACAGCTCGCCGGCTTCCGAGGCTGCGCGGGACGCTTCCGCACGCGTCACCGCCGCCCGCCCCGCGGCCTCTGACCCGCGATGAGGGGGCGTGGCCCGCTAGGACGGGGCGGGGGGGAGCCCTCGGACGCGGCGCCTGCGCAAGCTGCTGCGCCGGCTGAGCCGTGGGCGATTAGGACCGCCTGCAGGGCGCGGACACTGCGCATGCTTCACACAGCCGGTCCTCCCTGGAGTTCCCAGCGCGTCTGGCTTTCCGTGGATGTTGCGGCCCGCCCGGGACGGGACAGGAAGGGAAAACACTGGACGAGCGGAGGAACGCATCCTCGGTGAGGAGGAGGAAGGCCAGCCCGGGGTGTGAAGAGTGCCAACGCTTTTGAGCACCTTGCAGTGTCAGTCCGGGCTTCAGAGCCGGGCGCGGTTTCGTCAACCGTAAAACGAAGGATGTGGGCAGACTGAGTGATGTGCGGCTTGCCTGGCCTTCCCCGAGTGACAGCTCCGTCACGACCCGCCCCGGAGCCCGGAGAGCTTTGGTCTTGGGTGTGGGGTCAGCTTGTCGCTCCAGGGCTGGGATTTAGGTCCCTCCCCACTGTGAGGGCGGAAGGGTGAACTGGTCTACTGTGCAGTTGAGCAAGCTCAGCATAAACAGTGTGGGCTGTATTCTTTTTTTTTTTTTTTTTAAGATTTTATTTATTTATTTGACAGAGAGAGACACAACAAGAGAGGGAGCACAAGCGGGGGAGTGGGAGAGGGAGAAGCAGGCTCTCCGCCGAGCAGGGAGCCCGATGCGGGGCTCGACCCCAGGACCCTGGGATCATGACCTGAGCCGAAGGCAGACGCTTAACGACTGAGCCACCCAGGCGCCCCTGGGCTGTATTCTTTAAAGTGAAATTTGATGTAAGGGGAAAAGGAGCAAAGGGAAAAATGTTAAGAAACCTCAAAGATCAGGAGAGAGTGAAATGTTTCATCTCTGGAGAGAGAATAGAGGAGAAGCCTCTGAAGATGAGGAGCAGTCAGGGGTGCAAGGGGTATTACCAAAGCAGAGTGCAGGACCACGGTATGGAGGAAGGGAACCCATGGGCAGTTCAGAAACCTGCAAGTATTAGGGGACAAGACAGGTAGGTAGCAGGAGATTTCACCGAAAGATGAAACTGGAAGAAGGATGCTGCAGACCAGATGGAGAAAAGCTTCCTTAGGCTAGGGAGGGAGCTTGTGCTTGATCCTCACTAAAAGTTGGAAGGTGGCGACTATTTTTTTTTTTCAAAGATTTTATTTATTTATTTGAGACAGAGAGAATGAGAGACAGCACATGAGAGGGGGGAGGGTCAGAGGGAGAAGCAGACTCCCCGCCGAGCAGGGAGCCCGATGCGGGACTCGATCCCGGGACTCCAGGATCATGACCTGAGCCGAAGGCAGTCGCTCAACCAACTGAGCCACCCAGGCGCCCGGTGGCGACTATTTTAAAAGATCACTTTGTTAGAGAAAAGATTGGGAAAGGGCAAGACTGGGAGTCCAGTTTGGGGAGACTAGATAGTAGTGGGCATCAAAGGGAGAAACTGGATGGAAAGAATATTTCTTCCTCCAAGAATATTGGAGGAAAGTGGTCAAAAGGCACAAACTTCCAGTTATAAGATAAATAAGTACTAGGGATGTAATGTACAACGTGATGACTATGTCTAACGCTGCTGTATGATACATAGGAAAGCTGTTAAGAGTAGATCCTAGGAACTCTAATAACAAGATTTTTTTTTCTTGTATCTATATGAGATGGTTACTAATAAACCAATTACGGTAATCATATCACAATATATGTAAATCAAACCATCGTGCTATACACCTTAAATTCATAAGAGTGATGTGTATCCGTTATTTCTCAAAAAAAAAAAAAAACTGGAAAAATGGGGGTAAAATGTTTGTATTTTGAAGCAAAGAACTATAGGGTGGGTTTTTTCCTTTAATTTTGAAAAATAAATACACATGCTAAAAATACTCAGAGCATGCAAAAGAATATAGGAGTTATATTTCCAGTGGCTATTAAGGATGTGGGATTATAGTGAGGTGAATAGTGTCTCCCAAAATTCATGTCCATTTGGAATCTCAGTGTGACCTATTTGGAAATAGGGTCTTCGTAGATGAGGTTAAGATGAGGTCCTAATGGGTGTCCTTATAAGAGGAGAGGATGCAGAAATATATAGTCACAGGAAATAAGGACATATGAAGATGGAGGCAGAGATCGGAGTGTTGTAACAATACGCAGAGAAATGCTGTGGGCCACTAGTAGCTAGGAAAAGGCAAGGAAAGATGATCCCAAAGAGCCTTCAGAAGAAGCGTGGCCCTGCTGATAACTTGATTTCAGGCAGCTATCCTCCAGAACTGTAAGAGAATATATTTCTGTTTTTTTAATCCCTCAGTTTGTGGTACTTTGCTGTAGCAGCCCTAGGAAACTAACAGATCAAGATGAAGACTTACAAAATTCTATCAGGCTGAATTTACTGACAAGGGCCCACCAAGCAGATATTCTAGATACAACATGTTATCTCCAAGGGTTAGAAAAAGCTTAACAGTTTGTTTGAATGGTTGCTGAGTATGTCTTTTTCTATTATGCATGTAAATCTGGGAAAACAATCATCAGATGGGTTTAGGGACCCACTAGGCCCACTATGAGAAGGACCTAAGCAAAACCCTATTGATCAGTTGACTTCCATCCTCCCCAAAGTACCTACACTAAATGAAGTGCCAGAACTGCCTAGGATATTATTGAGGAAGGTATCCAAAGGCTTAGGGGCAAGGGGTTTGACATGTTAGTGTGGATTTATCATGTAAGACCTGTTCACCCACCGCAGGAGGGTCCAAAGGACATTACCCTTCATGACTGTGAGAAGTAAATCTATGAGCGAAGTCCCAGCATCTTTGAAGAGACATGCAATTGCTTTTCTCTGTATTCAGATAAATCTTGGAAACTACCACCATCAAACTGGGATTCCTAAATGCAGTGGGGATAATGGGATCCTAGTGGAAACTACCACCATCAAACTGGGATTCCTAAATGCAGTGGGGATAATGGGATCCTAGGATGGCAGGGACCAAGAGGTGGCACTTAATTGTCAAAAACTGGATGGGGGTCGTTACTGTAATGGACAGCTGAACTGAAGCAGTAATCAGAATTGTCTGACTTTCAGAGACCTATGACATTGGCAGTTGATCATAGTGTCCCTAGGGAAAAAAAGAAATGGACAATCTCCTAAATTCAGACTTGGTATTAGCAGAAGAGTTCTAGGTCTAGCAAACAGAAGTCCTAACTTGCACCACCAGAACAGAGCATCACAGCCCCTCTATCATTTTCCATACTTGAGCCAGTTTATACACTCAGAACTCTTTGAATGAAGGAGAGGCCAAGTCCTCTTGGGGAAGTACCTTGCTCCATTGCTAAAAATGTATATTAGTAATTTGTTCCCAGTCTTCCTCAAAGGGCCATCTACCAGGGTGATTGCCCACTGGGGGGAAGGAAATAATCAGACTTGGGGAGATTAGTAGACAATGGCTCTAACTTGACACTGATTCGTGGAAACGTACAACATCATTGTGTCTACCAACCAGAGTAGGGGCTTGTGGAGGTCAAGTGATTAAAGGAGTTCTAGCTCAGGTTCATCTCACATTAGGCCCGGTGGGTCTCTGAACACATCCTGTGGTTACTTCCCCAGTTCTAGAATGTGTAATTAAAATAGACATGCTCAGTAACTATTAGAATCCCCACGTTGATCCCTGAGCTGTAGAATAAAGGTTGTTATGGTAGAAAAGGCCAAATGGAAGCCACTAGAACGGTTTCTGCCTGTAAAAATGTAAACCAAAGGCAATACCACATTCTTGGAGGGATTGCAAAGATTAGCACTACCATCAAGGACTTGAAGGTTGGAGAGGTTGTGATGGCAACTTCATCCCTTTCAACTTGCCTATTTGGCGTGTGCAGAAGACAGATAGATCTTGGAGAATGACAGTAGATTTCCATAAACTGAATTATGTGGTGTTTCTAGTTGCAGTGCTATTCCAAATGTGGTTTCATTGCTTGGGCAAATCAACACATTTCCTAATACTTGGTATGTAGCTATTGATCTGGCAAATGCTTTTTCCCTCTATACCTGTTGAAAAAGTCTACCAGAAGGAATTAACTTTCAACTGACAAGGCCAGGGATTCACCTTCACTGTCCCACCACAGGATATATCAGCTCTTCAGCCCTGTGTCATGATTTAATCCTCAAAGACCTCCTTTCCCTTCCACAGAAAATCACACTAGTCCATTATATTGAAGATGATATGTTGATTGGCCTTGGTAGGCAGGAAGTAGCAATTACTGTACACATATTGGTAAGATATTTGCACATCGGAGGATGGAAGATAAATCCTCCAAAATTCCAGGGCCTTCCTGAAACTACTAGGGGTCCAGTGGTATGCGGTATATCAAGATATCACTTCTAAGGTGAAGGAGAAGTTGTTACTAAAGGAAGTAACTACTAAAGGAAGAGGCACAACACCGAATAAGAAAAGAGAAGTCTGCCACAGGTCCAGGCGATTGTGCAAGTTGCTCTGCCATTTGGGTCATAGGATCCAGTAGATCCAATGGAGCTTGAAGTGGCAGTGGCAGATAGAACTGCTATTTAGAGTCTTTGGCAAGCATTTATAAGTGAATCACAAGGCAAATCTTAGGATTTGGGACTAAAACCCTGCTATCCTCTGTGGAAATGACTCTCCTTTTGAGAAACAGCTTTCGGCCTGCTACTGGACTTACTAGAGAGGGAATACTTCTCCATGAGTCACAAGTTACCATGTGACCTGAGCTCATCAATGAATCATGTCAATGGATTGTAACCTTGATAGATGTGATCTGATGAAAATGGCTCTGCACTTCTGTGATCTTCCAAAAACCTGTAACCCCAATCCAATCATGAGAAAAACACTGGACAAGTTACAATTTCCATTAGAGGGGCATCCTACAAAATACTTGACTAGTATTGTTCAAAACTGTCAAGGTCATCAAAAACAAGAAGAGGGATGCCTGGGTGGCTCAGTTGGTTAAGTGTCTGCCTTCGGCTCAGGTCATGATCCCAGGATCCTGGGATGGAGTCCCGCATCAGCTCCTTGCTTAGCAGAGAGCCTGCTTCTTCCTCTCCCTGCTGCTCCCCTTGCTGTGCTATGTTTCTCTCTCTCTGATAAATGAGTAAAAGCTTTAAAAAAAAAAAAAAAAGGAAGAAGAAGAAGAGTCTGAGATACTATCACAGTCAAGAGAAGCCTAAGGAGATGGACTGACAACTAAATGTAATGTGGTGTCCTGGATGGGATCCCGGAACAAAAGAAAAAAACAAAACAAACCTTCCTTAAGAGAAGTCAAGTAAACTATCACCTTGGTTAATAATAATGTATTGGGGCACCTGGGTGGCTCAGTCAGTTAAGCGTCCAACTCTTGGTTTCTGCTCAGGTCATGATTGAGCCCCAGCTCAGGCTCCACACTCAGCACAGAGTCTGCTTGAGATTCTTTCTCTCCCTCTCCCTCTCCCCCTTATCCCTCTTGTGCTCCCTCTCTCTCTCTCCCTCAAATAAAGAAGCTATTCTTTAAAAAAAATAATATATCAATGTTGGTTCATTAACTGTAATAAATGTACCATACTAATGTAAGATGTTATCAGCAGGGGAAATTGGGTGCAGAGTATATAGAAACCCTGTACTATCGTTTCCATTCTTCTGTAGATATAAACTATTCCAAAAAATAAAGTCTATTATATAGAAAAAATCAAATCACCACATCACAAACTGTTAAACCAAGACTTTCCAAAATAATGAAGAATATCTAGTCACATTGTTCCTATTTTGCACTTTGATATAAAATTTTTAATGTCAATGTTTCATCTTTAACCTTTTTAAACTTCCTATTGTGTATATGTTTTATAGTGTACACAATAAACACAGAGGTACACATACATTTTTTAATATATGCACATTGGAGATGTAAATTTTTACTGACATTACATAATATATACAATACACAATAATTATAAATTATTAGCAAGTGTGTTAAACTAAATAATTCAAAAATTAGAGTTTCTTAGAGGAAATAGAAGTAAACCTATGAACTGTGATATAATTACAACTAGCCTATTCTTATGTCAAGATGAATAAATTACAACAAAAATCTATAAGCCTATGTAAAAGCCTATATAGTGACATCACCAGAACAATCCCAATTAGTTTCCGGCTTCCCCTTTGGTTCATTCCTAATATGATAACTAAAAGTTGTATGATGACATTATAATTTGTAAGTCCTTCGACTTGGTAACTTACATTTTGAATCACCTTGGATTGATGTAACTACCTTTTCATTGCCTTGCCTAAAACAGTGAATTCATTAAAGGCTCCAAGTTCCTTTTCTTGGAAAACGCCAGCCCTTATTTGTAATAACTTCAGGAGGAACGGGGCCAAAGCATTTAGAGTGTTTTTTTTTTAAAAGATTTTATTTTATTTATTTGCGAGAGAGAGAATGAGAGACAGAGAGCATGAGAGGGAGGAGGGTCAGAGGGAGAAGCAGACTCCCCGCCGAGCAGGGAGCCCGATGTGGGACTCAATCCCGGGACTCCAGGATCATGACCTGAGCCGAAGGCAGTCGCTTAACCAACTGAGCCACCCAGGTGCCCCAAGAGTGTTTGTTTTTTAGTTTGATTAATTCTCTGTAAGGAACTTAGTACAGGTTGGATGCATATCCCCCCATTCAGTAGCACAAACACATTTTACAACAAAGTCAAAACACCTCCCATTTTTGCTCTATGGAATTTCCCAATGTCACAACAATAAAAAAAATAGATTTCAAGTATAATTGTACAACAATTTCAAAAGTATTAACAGGAAAGGTACTTTTTAGTTTATTCTTGTTTCATAAGTTATATACCTCTCAAGCTTGAAAGGAAGTATTGTTAGTTTCACTTAGAAATTAACTGTTCTAGGAATAGCCAACTTTTATTTGAGAGACTTTTTTCCAGCATACCCCTTGATTGTGAAATGCTCATTGTTTTAAACAGGATTGAGGTGTGTGTGTTGGGGGGTGAGGTGCCTACCGTGTCTTGGCAATTCTGAAACTCGAAGAAGTAACTTTAAATAGAAAAAAAATAGGGGAAATAGTTCATTAGAAAAAATATCTTGCATATGCAAACAATGAATCATGGAACACTACATCAAAAACTAATGATGTTATGTATGGTGACTAACATAACATAATAAAATAAAATTTAAAAAAAGAAAAAATAGCTTGCAGCAGTATTAATTTACCTGGAAAGCCCCAAAACTGTCCCCAAGAGTTTTTCTTGGGAGAAGTATGGGTCATAGTGAAATTTATTTTATCATGAAAATAAAACTTACATAAGGAGATGACAGACAGAATGATGTTACACAAAGACTTGGGATTCTGGAAAATGTTAAACTAGTCATTGGCCTCCAGCTAAATAGAATTTCATCCTAAAGAAATCATCCAGGCAGATGATAATCTTATTTAGAGAGTTTCTGAAATGGAATTCCATACTCTTACATACCTTAATTTCTGCTATGGACTGAAATGTATCCCCCATAAATTCATATGTTGAAGCCCTAACCCCCAAAGTAACTATATTTGGTGTTCCAAACTAATTGTTTGTGCTCCGTCCCCCTCCCCCATTCACATGTTGAAACCCTACTTCACAATAGGATGGTATTAGGAGGCAGGCCCTTGGGAGGTAATTAAGATGAATTAAATGGGGTCAGGAAGCTGGAGCCCTCCTGAATGAGATTAGTGCCTTTCTAAGAGTCATGAGAAAGTCTGCTTCCCCTTTCTGCTCTCTGCCAGGTGAGGATACAAGGAAAAGTCAGCAGTATGCAAATGAGAAGACAGCTCTCCCCAGAACCTGACCATACTGGCACCCTGATCCTCGACCTCCAGCCGCCAGAACTGTGAGATATAATTTCTGCTGTTTAAGCTCCCCAGTCCGTGGGACTTTCTCCTGGTAGCCTACGCAGCCTAAGCCTTAGCCTTAAGCAGACTAGACAGTATCGCAAACTACTTCCTTACACTTGCCTTTTAAGATAAGCATATGGGTTCCTTTGGAAAGGAAGCCCATCCTTCATACTGCACACTGGCACTTTAAAAAAGCCAAAGGGGCAAACTGTAGAGGTTTCCCAAGAAAATTAAGGCAAGGAAGAGATTCCTTTTTTTTTTTTTTTAAGATTTTATTTATTTATTCATGAGAGACAGAGAGAGAGAGAGGCAGAGGGAGAAGCAGGCTCCCAAGGAGCAGGGAGCCCGATGCGGGGCTCGATCCCAGGACCCTGGGACCATGACCTGAGCCGAAGGCAGACGCTTAACCATCTGAGCCACCCAGGCGCCCCAGCAAGGAAGAGATTCTTTGTCACTTCTGTGCCATTCTGTGTCACTTCTGTGCCATAACGAGGACTCCTCAAGTCGTCTGATGTTAGGCTGATGATTCACATATAACCCCATCTTATCTCCATCACATTAAGAGAGGAAAACATCACCCTACATTACCCAAAACTCTCTACTTGTGATAAGATAGCTTGTCAACCTTACCCTCAAAACCATACCAGCATATTGCTGACAAAGTAGCAAGGGCTTTCTGGATCTCCTGGCTAATATTTTGTCTCGTGAATTTTTCTTTCCACTTGGTCCAGCATTTTAGAAGGATGGTTGACTAGGCCTTCTTCAGAAGATATGAATGTATAATTTCATTATCATTGCATCATGCCCCAAAACTTTGGCAGCTAGAATCTACCTTAAAATAGTGGTCTTCACACTGAGGTACCTCTGTTTCCTGGGATACACCAGGGCCCCTTCGTACAGTTATACTGCAAAAGTCCGAAGGCAAAAATACCTTTCAAAGCTATCTGAGGGCACAGAGAGGCTTGTTCTCCTTTCCAGCCACTTCTTCCTGTTCAGCATATTCTTACTTTACAAAAACAGAAGACCTCTCTTATCCATCCCAAATCTTACTACGGTGTGTCCTCCCGGGCTGAGCTATCCAGTATCGTAGCCACTAGTCCCATGTGGGTATTCAGTACCTGAAATGTAGCTGGTCAGCGTCAAGGTTTGCTGTCTGTATCAAATACTATAGGATTTTAAGGACTTAGGACCAAAAAACAAGAAGAATGTAAAATATCTCATTTTCAATTTTTTATATCACTGTTGAAATGATAGTATTTTGGAAATACACTTGACCCTTGAACAATGCAGAGGTTAGAGGCACCAACCCCCGCTGCCATGCCATCAAAAATCCAAGTATACCTTTTGATTCCCTAAAAACTTAACTACTAATAACATACTATTGACCGGAAGCCTCAGTGATAACATAAATAATCAATGAACACATATTTTGTATGTTTTGTGCATTGTATTCTATATTCTTATAATAAAGTAAGCCAGAGAAAAGAAAATACTAAGAAAATCATAAGGAAGAGAAAATACATTCACAGTACTGTACTATATTGATCGAAAAAATGCCACATTTAAGTGTAACCATGCAGTTCAAACCCATGTTATTCAAGGGCCAAATGAATTGCATTATATACATTATTAATTTCACCTGTTTCTTTTTAATTTTTTAATATGTTACTAGGAAATTTTAGATTACATATGAAGCTCACATTGTGTTTCTAATGGATGGTGCTATTCTAGAACATCAAAACAAAGGTACAATTTAAATAATGCTTCTGGACAAGCCTCCCATAGAAGGCACCAAAAACTTGCACTCAGGCTTGGTGTCTTTCCTTTTCTTCTCCAAAGAGTGGGTATTTTGGTATTTCACTGGAATATTTTGGCCATATGTTAATTCAGAGTGTAGAGTGGGGTTATTAGGGTGATGATAACTTTGCTCAAAGAAAGCATTGCTCCTAAGGGAGAGTCTCGAGAGACCAAAGCAGAAAGTATGAGTAAGAAATGTTGGCAGCATCTTATGTCACCCAGGTGACAAACTCATGGCAAGGACACTGTCTTAGAATGAATGTTTATAAGTGAGTTGGTGCTTCCTAGAAACCAGAAAGGGACGGGCTTTCACGACTGGATAATGAATCCTTCTCTAATCTAGGTGGTTTCTAGTGCTTTGTTTTGAACAGATTTGAAGAACCTAAAGCTGTTAGCTGATGGTTTAAAATACTTAATGAGGGGCACCTGGCTGGCTGGTCAGTAAAGCATGTGACTCTTGATCTCTGGGTTGTGAGGTCGAGTCCCATGTTTGGTATGGAAACTACTTAAAAAATTCTTTGGGGTATCTGGGTGGCTCAGTCAGTTAAGCATCTACCTTAGGCTCAGGTCATGATCCTGGGATCGAGCACAGCATCAGGCTCCCTGCTCAGCAGGAAGTCTGCTTCTCCTCTGCCCAACCACCCCCCCACACACACACACACGCTCATGCTCTCTCTCTATCTCAATAAATAAAATCTTTAAAAAATTAAAATAAAATCTTTAAAAATAAATAAAATATTCCACGTTCATGGTTGGAAGAACAAATATTGTTAAAATGTCTATGCTATCCAGAGCAATCTACACATTCAAAGCAATCCCTATCAAAATACCATCAACTTTTTTCACAGAGCTGGAACACATAATCCTAAAATTTGTATGGAACCAGAAAAGACCCTGAATGGCCAAAGGAATGTTGGAAAAGAAAACCAAAGCTGGTGGCATCACAATTCTGGACTTTAAGCTCTATTACAAAGCTGTCATCATCAAGACAGTATGGTACTGGCACAAAAACAGACACATAGATCAATGGAACAGAATAGAGAGCCCAGAAATGGACCCTCAACTCTCTAGTCAACTAATCTTCAACAAAGCAGGAAAGAATATCCAATGGAAAAAAGACAGTCTCTTCAACAAATGGTGTTGGGAAAATTGTACAGCCATATGCAGAAGAATGAAACTGGACCATTTTCTTACACCATACATGAAAATAAACTCAAAATGGATGGAAGACCTAAGTGGGAGAAAGGAATCCATCAAAATCCTAGAGGAGAACACAGGCAGCAACCTCTTCGAGTTTGGCCACAGCAACTTCTTGCTAGACACGTCTCCAAAGGCAAGGGAAACAAAAGCAAAAATGAACTATTGGGTCCTCATCAAGATAAAAAGCTTTTGCACAGCAAAGGAAACAGTCAATAAAACCAAAAGACAACCTACTAAATGGGAGAAGATATTTGCAAATGTCTTATCAGATAAAGGGCTCGCATCCAACATCTATAAAGAACTACCTCTTTCTAACAATAAATGACATTCACCAATAGATTTTGAAAGGGATAGATCAATAAAATTTGACTAAGTATGTGTAATAATTATCAAACTTTAGAACATATTTTAATCAAATTTTTACTATTAATAATTGTAAGTATAGATACAACTTTCAAATAATTTTAAATAATAAAAGGCTTTCAAACATAAAAATATGCTGCATTAAATAAAGTTCTGGGAAAGGAAAATGGAGTGGAAATGAGTTTCCAGTGGGAAAAAGGAATGATGTAAAATCAGTCTTTTTTTTTTTATGGATGATAGTGAATTTCTAATAAATATATTATTTAGATTCCATTGGAAACTTAAGTCGTGTGATGATTTTATTTTAAAACATCAGTAATCATTTATAATACAGTGAAAATCATGTCCTTTAAAACTAAATTTCTAGGGACGCCTGGGTGGCTCAGTTGGTTAAGCAACTGCCTTCGGCTCAGGTCATGATCCTGGAGTCCCGGGATCGAGTCCCGCATCGGGCTCCCAGCTCAGCGGTGAGTCTGCTTCTCCCTCTGACCCTCCTCCCTCTCATGCTCTCTGTCTCTCATTCTCTCTCTCTCAAATAAATAAATAAAATCTTTAAAAAATAAAAATTAAAAAAAAAAAAACAACTAAATTTCTAATGGAAAATTTTAGATGTCAACTTTCAAATGTGGAAATGGTTTCAGTTTCTCAAAACTCTTTTACAGGAGTAGGTGGACAAAAAATATTCATATGACTGCCTTAGATGGCAGCTAGTCAAAACTCCTTCATTTAATGAATGCAGCAGCTGAGCACCAGAAGTTCTGCTCTTGAACCAGAATCCAAGGCCACCTTCATAGTTTTGTTGTTGTTGTTGTTGTTTGTTTGTTTGTTTTCAGATTTTATTTATTTATGGACTCAGGGTCCTGGGATCGAGTCCCACATCGGGCTCCCTGCTCAGCTGGAAGCCTGCTTCTCCCTCTCCCACTCCCCCCTGTGTTCCCTCTCTCACTGTCTCTCTGTCAAATAAATAAAAAAATCTTAAAAAAAAAAAGGATTTTATTTATTTGGGGGAGAGAGGGAGTGAGAGAGAGAGAGAACACAAAATGGGGAAGGGTCAGAGGGAGAAGCAGACTCCCCGCTAAGCGGGGAGCCCGATGCAGGACTCAATCCAGGGAGTCCAGGATCATGACATGAGCCAAAGGCAGTCGCTTAACCAACTGAGCCACTCAGGCGCCCCCCCAAGACCACCTTCAGTCACTGGCTCCGTCTCCCACTCAGAGAAAGCCCACAGGGTTCTGTGAGAAAGTCACGTTTCTTGGTGATGAGGGGACTCTGAGCAAGAGATCCTCTCTCTGAAACGTATTTGTCTCAGAAACGTATCCGTGGTCGCCTGTCAATGAGACTCCCACCCGTTGTCAGGATTTGCTCTAAAGCAATCGTTTAGGAGGATGAGGTAGTCCTACATTTATCACCAGAACTTGGATTATGTTTTATGTAACTACTGATCTCCCTAACCAAGCTGGAAGCACCTCGAGGGAAGTAGATTCAATTGTCTTAGTTAGCTTGGGCTGGGTGGCCATAAAAACACCTGGGGGGTGCAGTTGGTTGAACTGTGCTGGGCGTGGAGCCTGCTTAAGATTCTCTCTCACCCTCGGCCCCTCTGCCTGCCTCACGTACTCACGCTCTCTCTTTCTCTCTAAAACAAAACAAAACAAAACAAAAAACACAACCATAGACTGAAAAGGCTTAAACAACAGAAATTTATTTTCTCTCAGTCTAGAAGCTGAAAGTCTCAGATCAGAGCACCAGCCTGGTTAAGTGCTGGGGAGAGCTCTCTTCTGGGCCTGTAGGTAACTGCTTCCTCTTTGGGGGTGCTCATGGGGCCTGGGTGATGGGGCTGGAAGGTGGTTTGCTCTGGTGTCTCTCCCTCTTCTTATAAGGACACTAAGTGTATTGGATCAGGGCCCTAGTCTTACAACCTCATTTATAATCTTAATTACTTTCATAAAAGCCCTCTCTCCAAATACAGTTACATTATAGGGGTTAGGGCTTTAACATATGAATTTTAGTTGGACACAAGCATTCAGTTCATAACGCTCATAAATCTTTACATGCCTTATTCCTAACCCAGTGGATGGTACCAGTGATCACTAACAAATTTTTGTTGAATGAATTTAGTATCAATTCCTTATATCAATATCATACTAGCAATGTACATAGCAAAGAGAAAACTAGCTATAGGACCTTGAGCAAGTCATTTACCTCACTGAGCCTCAGTTTCGTTAGATATAAAATCTGGATAGTCATTCTTATAGGTCTCTTATAGGATTAGAAGGGAGGCACGTGGAGGGCCTGGAATAGTGCTGGTGAAATAACAGCTCTATCTAATACTTTTGCTTGGCACTTTACAGTTTGTGAAGCACCTGTGCATACACCACTCCGCCAAGAGACCTGACTGTCTCAGACACCTCTGGCACCACGCCTAGTGATCTTTTCACTACACCAGGTGATCCAAGACCTTGTGAAAAGTGTTAATTTACAATAACCTTGGACCTCACAAGGTCATAATTTCTGTTCTGTGGAATGAAGTAGTTCACTGAACTGGTCAGGTCCTCAGGGTAATCAAGAATCCAGGTTAAAAAATCTATCTGGTAGGGAGAAAGAAATATTAGGTGTTTTAACAGCTATTTTCTTGCAAAATTAATCCGTTACTTGCAGTTTCCTAAATAAATTATTTTTCAGAATATTTGTAGCCTCGGGGCATCTGGCTAGTTCAGTCAGTAGAGCATGATGTGACTTCTGATCTCAGGGTAGTGAATTCAAGCCCCACATAGGGTGTAGGACTACTTAAAAATACGTATGTATTTATAGCCAAAGCTTTGTGGGTAAGTCCATTCATGGACACTAGGTGGCACTATAAGAACCTCTCCTGGACCAGTTCCTGCCCACCCAATAGCTGGCCACCACCATTCATTTACAGCCTGAACACTTGCAACAAAGAGTTGGGTGAAGAAAACATAGAGAGATGTTCTTCCTTTTCTAGGTAGAGTCTATACGTTTTCTTTCTAAGGGGTTGAACTCCTACTGTAAGTAGTACGTAGAGAAACCAGGTTCTCGCGGAAAACTACACCTAGCTTGGATCAAGTCAGGACACAATCTGAGTCCCAGTGCTGACACTTAACGGCTGGTTTTCCGGGAGAAGGTCTGTTTCCTGCCCTGTGTGCCTCCCACAGCATTCCTAGGAGGACTGCAGGAAGTCATGTATGAGAATTGCCAAGTGCTACAATTAAAAACCAAGGTTCTTTCCGGGGAGGCTCCTGCCTTGCATCTGCTCTGGGTCTCTGCTCCCCTGCAGATTCTTTATCAACTCCAAGATCACTCTCAAACATTTATAAAGGACTTTGACACCAGATATCGTCATTTCAACATTCCTCAAACGACTGAAACTCACAGCTCAGAGTGGCCTCCCCACCAACGGTGTTTAACTTCTCTTTAGCTAGCTTGTCCAATGGCTACACCCTAGACCTTGTCATCATCTGGAAGTAAACCCCCTTAAACTTGTCGACCTCACATTCCCCTCTCAGAAGTCACCTCTCCTTACCCCCGCCCCCTCACTCATCAATCTCAGTGGGACCTCCAGCTCCTTCATTCCTCCTTCTCTCCCTGTTTATCAGTTCCCCCTTCTCTACCCACAGAGCCCCTTTCTTTTCTTGCCTCTGTGTTACAGTGAGCAGCTACTCACTCATCAACTCCTACAACCAGCCCCCCCCACTCCCCACCCCTCCAGTGCCACCATCCCTGAGGCCCCCCACCTGGACCAGCGTGGCCCTTTCAGGCAATGCAGAGCACCTAGGGGGGAGAGCATGAAGAACTGAATTACTACTGATGAAGAGCTGTGTAATCCTGAGCACATTATTAATCCCTCTGAGCACCAGACTTGGGTATATTAAAGGGATGAGAACATTTATTCATAGATTTAAGAGAGGTAACAGGTGAAACAAGATTTTTTTTTTTAATATATTTTCATGCTTTTATCTTTAGCATCTTTTACATCTGTGATCTTTCCCTGTATCCAGAGGTACTTACCCAGAGGGCACATGGATGAACGGGTGGGCCTGGTGGCAGGGTGTGTTTACTTCTAAAATAGGTAATTGAGGGGCACTTCGGTGGCTCAGTCAGTGAAGCATCTGCCTTCAGCTCGGGTCACAGGGTCCTGGGATTGAGCCCCGTGTCAGGCTCCCTGCTCAGCGGGGAGTCTGCTTCTCCCTCTCCCTCTGCCCCTCCCCGTGCCCCCACTTGTGCTCTCTATCTCTCTCTCAAATAAATAAATAAAATCTTTTTGAAAGTTAAAAAATAAAATAGACAATTGAGATGCAAACCTGAAGGACCAAGGAAAGTAGGACTTGGAGATTATGCCAAAATATAGCTTGAGAAGACAATAGGAAAGAGCCGGGTGTACCTGCCCCTTATTCACCCACTATCCATGAGGGAGAGCCTGAGCAGGGCAAGCCCTCAGAGGAAATGGGTGAGGACAGGAGAGAAGCTGGGTTTGTTGCTTTTCAAGAGCCCAACACTCACCCAAGCAGAAAACCACAAAAGCTAGGTGGAGCTGGGGACCTGGAAGGGAAATCCATAGCGTATATTAAGCCCTTTAGTCCTCAACTCAGCTCCACAAAACCATTATTACCCACATGAAAACACCACCACGAGACTATTATTGGCCCCATTTCACAGAACAGGAAAGTAAGTGACAGAGTCAGGATTCTAACCCAGGTCAGCTAACCTCAAAGGCCATACCCTCAACCATCCTACTACACAGCCTTTCAATAAACATCAGTTCCCTACACTTCCCCAACCCCTAGTCTGTTAAATGTCAGAGCTAAGAAGCTGTGGGAGAAAATTACCATGGGTTTCATGCTATTACTGTTTAAGGTCTAAACTCAACTGGGCCTCAGTTCTGCTCCATCACCTGTTGCCTGTTCTTGGTCCACGTCCTTCCCCATGTCCTGCAGTGGCCCTTAAGCCCTCCCCATTCCCTGCTCTCACCATGTTTAGCAATGAACTTGCCTGTGACTCAGAGAAAACCAGTGCCATTAAAAGCAGACTCTCAGGGCACCTGGGTGGCACAGTCTGTTAGGCATCCCACTCTTGATTTCAGCTCAGGTCTGATCTCAGGGTTTTGAGATTGAGACCAGGGTTGGGCTCCATATTCAGTGGGGAATCGACTTGGATTCTCTCTCGCTCTGCCCCCTCCTCTCTAAAATTAATAAAATAAATCTTTAAAAAAAAGA